ATACCCTAAAATTGTTCATTCATACTCATCGTTAAATAAGTTATGGAACCTCTTAAGGATAGATTTTCTTTTTATACTCTACTTTTCAAGAATACACTTCAAATTTATCTTGAAAAATAGACATTTCAAATTTTCTCAAACTAAATATATAGTTAGAACTTAGGGTCTAAGGTCAACTCCCTTTACCTGGAAATAGATCTCTAAGACTATGTTCTTCGTGATTTCTAGAGAAGAGCTCCACGTCTTAACCTAGACCACTACCCAAGGACGAGAACTATTCCTAATATCGCAAGATAAAACACTATTACAATGAGAGAAAGCAGAGAAATAGAAACAAGATTCAAGAGCTGAGCTCCAGAAACTTACTAGATTCAAGAGGAATAGACGTTGGAGCTCAGATACAAGAGATATTTTGAGTTATAGAAGGCTTTCTCTGAGAAGGAAGAGGGAGAGAACATAGGGGGAGAAGTGATTTTGGTGAGAAATGAAATTTCTCAAAGGTAAATCCCTTAAATACCCTTCAAACCTGCGCGTTCTCGCTTGAGTGACCACATTTTTGCTTGAGCGAGCTCTTCCTCGCTTGAGCGAGAAAACTAGGTAATGATTTTTTTTATATTCTTTCTTGGGTGAGCTCCATATTGCCTGGGTTAGAATAGGTTCAGAGAAATCCTTATTTTTTCTAGGGCAAGCTCTATCTCGACTAAGCGAGCTACTTCTCGCCTAGGCGAGAGGACAGTTTGGGTAACTCTATCTTATTTGACTTAAGCGAGACTTACCTCGCTTAAGCAAGAATGCTCTAAAATGCCCAATGCAGAAAATATCTATTTCGCTTGAGCAAGAAGTCCTGCACCAAAATTCCTATATTTCTCAAAAATAAGGGAATGAAAAGGAGGATGTTACAGTCACGACCCCTATTTTGAAAGGATCAATGACATGCCAATATAATTTACCTATGTATAAAATTTCTGTATTTTAGAAAGGTCTTCTCTAAAGGAAAAAGGTTGAGAATAGAGAGAAGGTGAGAGGGAATGGTGGTTTCATGAAAAATGAAAGCTTTCCGCTCAAAATCCCTGTAAATACCCCTCAACTCATGATTCTCTCGCTACAGCGAGCAGCTCTCATTATAGTGAGATATACCAGATAATGGATCCTTCTTGTTATCTGTCATTTTTTCTACAACAAACTCCTCTCGCTGCAGCGAGAAGATTGTTGGTTTAATCTTATCTACTTTTCGCTACAATGAGATTCTCTCGCTACAACGAGAAAGCTCTAGAAAGCGTCATTTTAGACGATTTATTCCCACTACAACAAGATATCCTATAGCCTTACATCACCCAAAACCCTCCAAACTCATACAATATGCATAAGCTTTTTACTCAAGAACCATACAACTTATACATACATGAATTCAAGCCATCTCATACCATAACCTGTAACATCCTATTTTTGTTATTTATTATTTTTTTTTATTTTGTGTGAATTGTTAATACATGATGACAGACAACAAAGTAAAATTTTGTTTAGTTTTTTTTGCTGCAACGAGAGAAGGTCTCGCTATAGCGAGAATCTCTCGATATAGTGAGAATTGGCTCGTTGTAGCGAGACTATCAAAAACCCTTGGTTCATTTTCCTTTGGTTATTTCTTGTTTTTCCTTGAAAAGTCTCAATCTTTCTCCGATCCAAGCTTGGGAGTTCATTTTTCTTGCTCTTTGGTAAGTTTTTGAAGCTTGGTTCTTCATTTCTTTGGTTATTTCTTGTTTTTCCTTCTCTAAATAGGATCTCTTATGATATTTAGGAAGAACCCAATCTTTTGAGCAAGATCTCTCAAAAACCCTTCACCAAACTTCCATTTCAAGGTAAGGAGAGCTCTATCTTGTTACTAAGAAAGTGATATGTTTGTGTTCATGAAAATGTTATGATAAAATGTATGGTTTTGAGTATATGATGGATGAGAACATGTTTTTGTTATGTTTGAAGCATGTTTTGTGGTATTGATGACATGTATGATCCTAATTTTGAGTGTATATGCATGTATGTTGTGGACTAAGTCCGGAGGTGACCAATCTTCAACACTGATTGATTGATATATGATGATAATGAACCAGAGAAAAACAGGGAGATAAAAGCATGAATAATATGATAATATACAAGTAATGAGTTCAAGTTATAGTAAATAATGAATTTAGGCCATAATGACTAATCAGAAGAGTAAATCCATAATGAAAAAATTAGAAATGAAATGAAAAATATGGAAAGAGAAGTGAAATAAGGAAAGAACATGATAAGGACAAGTATAGATAGTCCAGAGATATACTAGGGGTGTAGAAGATGGAGGCGATTGAGAAATTTTAGGAAAATGAGGGTAGTAGATGCACTTTTTAAATTGCACATAACAAATGAGAGTAAGAGTATCACAGGCCTCACACTTGTTTCCTGACTTAAACTACTGACCATGCTTTTGTTAAAAGAGGCTGGGTTAGTACACGTTGTATCCGTGTAGCTGTGGCTATCCAGTAACTACCTATGCTAAGAAAGACCTCAAGGAATCCTAGGGGCAGTGAAAGTGTAAAGTGAGAACTTCGAGTGTTAATGAGAAGAAATGTAATAAGTTAAATAATTGACGAGTATTGCTTTTATTTGCATGTGATCTTGTGGCATGATAGTTTGTTGTATTTACTTTTGTTTGTATTGTTGACGTAACTGTGAATGTATGCTTGGTAATGAGAATAGAGGTTCATTCTTACATACCTTTCAGAGAATTAGGATGACAACACTCAAAGAGAGCATTAGACTTATAAATAGCTTTGTATAGTGTAGGTTAAATTATGTATTTAACGAGTACCATAGATTTTGCTATTTTAAGTTGGCCTTACATGTTGATAATGTACCTTGTAACATTATTATGCTAGAAATAGAACTATTCTATAGTGTACCTTTCGATTTTCTTGTAAACAATAGAATCAACCATACCCTGTGTATGTACCTCTACCAAGGCATAGTTAGAACTCTAGCAGTTGTGACCTACTTGTTCACATATCACAATCACGACCACCTCGGAAGACCAACCCGGTATACTTTTGAGTGAATTACTAACAGGCAGGCCATTATGGATTCAGGAGATCTTTATCTCGGGTCAAATAGGGACCTTGATTTTGAGGATTTTGTAAAGATAGAGAAGTGACATGGGGACGACTAGTATTGTTTCAGTCTTGGGATGATAGACTGCTCACTAGGACTCGTTATATTTTGTATATTGTAAATATTGTAAATGAGTCATAAAATATTTTGATGTTATATTTTCCAAATGTCAACCCTTTGTAAACTTACAAGAACAATGTATATTAATGCTATTTCACGTTTCTTTTAATTAGTTTGATTCTCATTACCTTGTTATTTATATTTTGCAAATTTGAGAAAAATAAACAAAAATTATTTTTAATTCTACGTGTTATATTCAATTGGCAAATGGATTTAATTTAAATCTTTCGTTCCTAACTACGGAATTATTTTCTTATTGTTTTGAATAAAATAAGAATGTTACATAACCAACATACAACATCACATTCAAAATACAAAGAAGTCGTAGTTAAATGATTACATCATTAACTTTAAAAGAAAATAAGTATGTGCATAACACAGGCCTGACAATTAGCCTATAAGTGTTAGGAGTTGGGTTAGGCTTGAGTTATAATAAATTAATAGCATAAATGTTATAGGTTTGTTGGGTTGGATACCAAATCTACATCCTGACTAGACAAAAAATATTCATATGCATCTGAATTCATAACCCGTTTATACTAAATTTTGACCCAACCCATTCAAAATGTTAAAAATTTACATCATTTTAACGAGTTTGGTCATTTCTTACCCTCCCCTAATTTTCTCTGACTTTTAATATTTTTAGGCAATAAGTCTATGTTTCGCCTTCTTTCTTTCTTTCGTTCGACTGTTACTGTAATGAAGTTCTTTTTTCTATGGTATCAATTTCGCCTTCTTTCTACCGTAGTAGTACTCTATATTTCTTTCTATAGTTTTCTTTTTCGTTCAATCCAATATTTCATCTCCCAAACACAACCTAACAAGTTCAAGTTCTCATCAACTCAAACATAATTTCTTAACCACCTTTCTCACTTTGCAGCATGAATATCATTGCAGCGATAGTCATAAGAAGGAAGAAAACGTCATGGAAAAAGAACGAAGTAAAAGATGAAAAATAGACTTTATTAACTGAAGTATTAAAAGTCAAGGATAAAAATAAAATTTTTAAAAGATTATAAAACAAAATCAATTTGTATTTAAAATTTAAAGTTTTTAATAATAAAAACTAACGTGATTAATTACTAATTTTATAAATTAAAATATTAAATTTAAAAGATTAATTTAAGTAAAATTGTATATTATAAAGATTGAAGTAAATATTTATTAATTTTTTTTTGTCAAGAGGTGACACGAGAAAGAAATGTTAATAATATATGAAAAATTGACACAATAAAAATAATTAATAATTAAATTTAGAAAGAAAAAAAAAACAAGCATTCATATAAACTTGAAAAGTGAAGATATTTAAAAAGTGAAAAATAAAAATAGATAAAAACAACGGTGAAATATTGTTGTTATAATTACATCTTGCTCGCCTCCCATGAAATTTAAACATATTTGTTACTTAATCTTGATCAATATACGCCTCCTACCTTTGTTCTTCAAATCTGAAGTCGTGTGTGTTGTACAATAATCAAAACCTTCTTTCTTTGAAACAAACCTTAATCAAACATATTTTCAATCTATCATAAAAAATTGTAAAATTGTGCCAGTATTTTGTTTTATAGGAAATGCCATGAATAAAATAAATATTAGGCAGGTCTTAAAATATTATTCTGGTCTGAATAACTAATTTTGACGTGAGTGAGAAATAAATCGATTGAAGTGAGTTTTAAATTAGTTGGGATATTAAATAGCAACAATCAAAAGGCACTATAATTTCAATTACGAGTTATTAATTCTCGAAAAATAATTTAGAATTGTTGAGCTGAAAAATCGACGTAAGAGAAGAAAACAGAGAAGGGTGGGTTGTGTAGCAGCGTTGCTAACAATTCTCTGCCCCCAATCGATTGATTCGCCATGAATTCTCTTCTGGTAACCACGCATGCTTCTCCATTCCGTGCGTTCCCACACTCTTCAACTTCTAAATCTTTCAATATCTTTCTCACACTCAGATTCAGACAACCCCCTTTCTCTTTCCCTTTCCCTTTCCCCCATTTCCTTTTGAATCCACCTCGCTTAGTTCCATACTGTTCCCCTCTCTCTTCGTCCAATGGATCCAACTCAACAATTCCTTCCATTAAGAACGACACCTTCCATTCTCAAGTCACAACCCCCAAATTCCCTTCCTTTGTTTCTCCTCTCCCCAAGCTTAGCTTTAGTGATCAAGCTTTCTTTCTCCTCGCTTTCATTGCCTGCACGGTATTTCCCTCTTTTTCTTTCTCCTGTTATTTTTCTACTTTGTTGCTTATCGTCATTGTAAATCTTCTTATAGAACATCAACTGAAAGTTAGGTTCCTATTTCTTTTATAGTTAATTATTATCTTTTTTTCTTCCCCTTTAGCTTTGAATTAAAATTGCTGCTCACGAACTATGTTTTGATTATCGTTTTACAGGCTTCAGTGGCTTTCACCAGCCTTGTTTTTGCTGCTGTTCCCGCTTTATTCGTAAGTTTATATGTCAGATTATGTAATTCTAGCAGGTTGCATTTGCTTCCTTTAGGTTCTGTAAGGCTTAGTGATAACTTGGGATTTCATTTTTTAGAATTGATCTTAAGATCTTGCTTACACCTTAGTTTTTCCTTCTTTCTCGCATCATTTATAAGATATGCTTTACTCCTTGAACTGTTCTCGTTCTAGAATATCTGCAAACAGACCGCCAAAAGTTGAACATGCATTTGGAGAGAGAGCAATTTGAGGTGTACATACATGTAGCAATGCGTTGTCTTTAATCCTATGTAGTTAGTATATCTGTCCAAACAATAGATTTGTTTGAGGGAGCTTTGTTTGCCAAGGAGGAATCTAACTGTTTGGTGAGTAAGTTAAACACTGGAAAAGGATTTGGAATCTGCATATGATATCTCTTTGTCTGGAAAGAGTACTAGGTCAATCATATTCCAATTTAGATATCCCTTTACGAGACATATGTTCCATTTAATGAATCTTTCAGCTTGCAAAAGCTTGGATTTCCTATATCTAATGTAAATTGAGCCTCTGTTTTTATTTTATTTTATTTTTGTGTAAAATCTTCATCTTCTGTTTGATTCAGTAGGAATTTGACTTGACTATGCCTATACCAACTTTACTGCATGTTTTCAGATCTAGTCATATCATCTCCAAATTTATCTTATTTGGATAATAGTTAAACCTAAACGGACTCTAAATACTCATATGTTATGTACATTTCCATATCTTTCTCAGGCAATGAGAAATGCTGCAATATCCCTTTCAAAGCTAGCAGATACTGCTCGTGAGGAGCTCCCTAGTACCATGGCTGCTATAAGGCTTTCGGGGATGGAAATAAGTGATCTGACCCTAGAATTAAGTGATCTAAGGTAACAATGATACCTTGCTTTGAATCCATTGTTGCTGTTTTCTATTCCATATATCACTTCTTTCTAAATGTTGGTTATTTTGTAGATTATTAGCTGTATATTGTAGTTATGTTTTGTACTACTTATTTGTACTGCTGTCCTATACATTGGACCCTTGAGGAATACTTTTCATCTTGCCCTGATTCCTTTTCTGCGACATGCAAGAGAAGACGCGTGATGATTGTTTATCCAGTGCTTTGTTTAATATGCATGTGAAATGTTGACATGAACCTTCCAATCTGATACAATACTATATAATTTTGAAGATTACTAAACCAAAAAAAAAAAAAACTTTAAAATGAAGTTTGAAATTTTAAACATTTGGCAACTGCTAATGATAAAACATAGATGCCCTTTTATTAAGAAAAGAAATGCTAGTAATGAACTCTTTCACACTATTATTGGCTATACCCAAACAATACGCACCCCCTATGAAGTTGGATCATCCCAATGAATTTTACGTAATAGTAAAATAGTGTATGGAAAAGAGTGTGTCAGAAGAGTGCTAGCATTCTTCCTTTTGAGGAGTTGGTTTTCAAAGTCGGCTTTAACCACATTGCATATCTTGATCATAAATCATTTGTTTTTTTGGCAATTAGCCAGGAAATAGCAGATGGAGTCAACAAGTCAGCTCAAGCTTTGCAAGCAGCAGAAGCTGGAATCCGACAGATTGGTTCAATGGCACAACAACAAACCATATGTATGTATAATGTGTTTTCCGAGATTCCTTTATTTTATTTTATTTTTGTATTTTTCCCCACTTAATCTTAATCACAGATTTAGCAGCTGTTTTACTTACCTGCACAGTTATGTACATATAAATAAAAAATGGGTAGGCAAAGACTCGTAATTATTCAAATTCTTTCTTTTGAGGGTTGGATTGTTTTTCATCAAGGATGATTTCTGTAAGAACTCTCGAGTGTTATCAATTGCATAATACGCACACACGTCAATCTCTTCCCAGCCTAAAGATTCATATACAGAGCTTTGAATTTCATTTAATAGCTAAAACATTGAATTACTAAGTAGTTAATAAGCAAGCAAAAGATATCCGGTATTGGAGCATTCATTGAATTTGGACACTGATCAATGGGGCGGTTGTCCGAGCAATCTTGTCTTTTTTTCTATTGTTGGTCTGATTATAGTTCGGTTTGATACAGCCATGATTCAAGAGAGGGCGAGTTTACCCATAATTTCTTTGCAACCTGCTGTTGCTGGAGCTGCCAGAAAGACTTCCAGAGCAGTTGGCCGAGCCACAAAGAGCTTGTTGAACATCATTTCAGGAAGGCAAGGCACAGCAGAATACGATGACGACGAAACTTACATTTGAAAAATCTGTTGAGTTCAATTAAAATGATTCAGCTGTGTGAATATTCCATTTGCTCAATGCCCCGATCCAAACATAGTGTAGGAGGATACTGTAAATTGAACAGAAAATTATGTCAAAATTTGAATATATAGGCACGACCTTATTACACGGCTTACTATTTTGTGAAAGTGAATCTATAAATGTACCCAGTTGGCATTTACAATAACAAGCCCTTTTAAGAATTGTCGTACTCATTATTATCTTGCTGAGACCATGACCTTGCCGAACAAAAGCGCCAAACTTTTTCTCTTTACTAACATGAAATTTGATCCCCCAATGCTTACATTGGGGAAGTTTATGACGCATCTAAGATTAGTGTTTTGGTGGGTAATGCCATTCATTTCAATTTTTCTTTTTCAGATTATTGTAATAACCTCTGTAATAAGGAACAAAGTTTATAGTTTGCTGGGCCTTTGCGCCCTTTGGTTAAAAAAAACACACATTACTTACTGTAAATTTAGTTATAGAAGATTTGTTTAAAGTAAATTCAAACATTCGTCAAATCATTGATATTGATTAGTCTTTTTATTATATTTTATAATATTATGAATATATTTAAATCGCTTTTTTGTACTAAAAAATTTACTCTAATATTCCATTATAAACATATTGCTTATGGTTATTTTATTAAATTATTAATTGAAATATACAGTAAATATTTATTATATAAAAATTTAAATATCATAAATATTAATTTTAAATAGGTATGAATTTAAATAAAGCAAAATTCATTGAAACTTAATTATAGAAAAAAAAATTTAAAGGACTCTATTATAATTTTAAAAGACTAAATTCAAGTAAAAAGTTATACATTAATTATATAAAAAAAATTAAATGTAAACTTATACTAACTTGAATTAACAAAAAAACTGGTGTATGAATAAGTAAACTTTTTAGATTGTTAGATGTATTAAAAAAAAATAGTTCAGATCTTTAACATATACTTTAATAATACTAATTTTTATATATTTATAATTTATTTTTATAATTTTAATAATTTTAGCTGTCACTTTAAAAGTATTATTAAAATATTTTACTAGTATATACTCCTGCCTTGTTATAAAAAAATGAAAAATAATTAATATACTTTTTTAAAAAAATTTAAAAATTATATAAATATATTTTTTTATTAATTTTAATTTATGAGTTTTATTAATCTCAATCTTAGTGAATTTAAATATTCACAAATAAAAAAATTATAAAAAAATATATAATTATTATAATTAAAATTATAAAAATATAATAAATACTTTTTCTTATAAAATTTTATTATTATTAACTGTTTATCTTTAGGTTTAAGAGTTATATTAATAAAATTCTTAATTTATTAATCATTTTTATATTTTTATTATTTTTAATAAATTTCAACTGTTAGAAAAATATAAAAATCTTTAAGAAAAAGTGCTAGAAAAATGATAATGGATTTTGAACATTGTGTGAAGTGAAGAAGAGATCAGAAGGGAGAGAGAGAGGTTGGGGGGTGGGAGGAAGATGGAGAAAAGTGAGAAGCAATCGGAAAAGATTTGCAAGCGGTGCAAACAAAGCTATAATACGGCCTCTAATACTTCAACATCTTGCCGTTTCCACACTTCCTTCTTCGTTTGTCGCCGTCACGACGACCAAAAGAGGTGCCCTACCTCCTTTCCTCTTTTCTATATTTCTCGCTAAATCAAATCCTAAGCTGCTTAAAATTTTAAATCAGACGCACATGCTACATGATTAGAGTAGCATTGATAGGGGAGCATAGATAGATATATTTCTACTGTTATTATTCTCCAAATATTTATTTGGGAATATGATTTGTGTCATGCCATGATATTTGTGGCCGTTTTGTGGTTTGTTTTATTGCCAGCTCTAAATTGGAAGTCTTATTGCCTTTAGTGCAAGTATAGGATAAGCAGAGCCTCGTTACTTTTAAGGATACGCTCATTTGTTTCAGTTTTACAATACAACACTATCACAGTGTCTGCTTCATGTACCCCACTCCACTTGATACCTGTTTGTATAACTTCCATAAAGGAAGTTTACACTCATTCCAATGCTAGTTATGTGAGAGAGAAATATTTTTCAATTCTGTTGGATCGGTGGTATAGGTGCTATCCAATCTGGCCCTTAGTTTTTGTTGTTGTTATACCAATCCTTTAAGATACCATTTAGCTGTAAGAAACTAAGAATTACTGTTTCACTACTTTCCTGCGTTTATCGTAATAGTCAATACTAGGTTTCAGTTTCACTGATAAAGTTTTTGATATATTTCCCTTTAACATGATGTCGTTGCCGTATTCACTATCCAAAAGTCTTTACAAATTTCCTGACAAAAAGGACAATATCTCCAAGAACATAACTAATTCTTGGATCCAGTTTGTTGTCGGAGTTCCTAATGCTCTCTTTTTAAGGTGTTTCTTTAGTTGTCAAAATCTGTTGATCTCCCAAGTTTCCCAGTTATAGCCTCAAAGCATTAGAGGATTAACATGTCAGACATGCTCTGTAGGATAAAGTTTTGTGATTACATGTTCTTTCGCTGATCCAAAGGTGAAGTTTTGTAACTTGATAGACTGTGCGAAGCTATGACCATTTATTCATTATGTTCTTATTTGTGTTTTAGCTCAATCACTCAAATCAGGCTCATGGCCAGAAGAGGAAAAAAAAATCTAAATCTTACACCAAAAGACTTTAAATTAGGTATAGCATAGTATGCCAATGTTATGCATGGATTCCATGGAGAACTGTGTTGGAGGATGTTTACATGTACGTTGCATAGAATTAACATAAATGAAGAATTGTGGATATAGTTTTAAATTTTTTATTTTTATCCTCCAAGGCAAGGGGCCTATTATTTTAGGAATGAAGTTTTAAGCTGATCAGATCTTAGGGTTAGCTTCACCTCATCAGGTGTAAGTCTGTCCGTTGACCTGTATTTTTGTTTTTTTGTTTAAGTTGAATGTTGGGCACAAATCATTTATCTATTACATTTTTTTGTTAATTACGAAGGTACTACGAATTGGGCCCAGATGATCCGCCCTATGCTGCTAAATTCTATGACTGTTGTGGGGCTGAAGACCCTGAAGCTTCTGGCTGCACTACCAATTTTCATGTCTCTTATGACGAAGACTGATGTAATATCTCACATCTATCACATAGTATTGGACAATCCACTATCATACTAGCCTCTTTTTCACCATTGTATATGATTTCCAAATTCTTCATCTATACTTTGTTATTCACAGCCTGAAAGTTTGATGATCATGTTTTCTTAACTTCTTCATCTGCATGTGTTCATTATGAGTAAATGATTTTCATATTATTTTTAACCCATGGATTATTCCTAGACATATCTAGTGGCACCCTTCATTCTTTGTTCAACTAATTCAATTTACCAATAGGCTATATATATAGGTCATCCATACTGTTACCTGTTCTGCAACTCTTTAGTCAGTTGAATATTATGACAAAAATTGACTCTAATAATAAGACATGGTTTAAATTTATACTACTTATATAAGAAGGCTAAAATGCAAGAAACTATTTTCAGTAATGGGGTTCAAATTTTACCAATTCCAGTAAGTGGGTTATGGGCACTTTAGTCAAAAAGAAAGGAAAAGGTTTGTGACAATTTGGTTTCACAAAACGAAGTTAAGAAACTGTTCAGCCAGGCCCAGAAGTTTGAGATCTACCAAAAAAAAACAAACAAACAGAAGAATAAAATGGGGAATTGGTCTGACATTTTGGCATGTGACGAAATCTTACGGGCGATCATTAATGAAAGGAACTGCAGCAAAACAACCAACTAACGTGTTTGTTTGTCATGAGTGGCGTTGGCGTGGTCTAGTTAATTAAAGTAAAAATGAAAGTGGTTTGAGAAGGGTGGCAAAAGGGAAATAAATATTACCTATTCCATGTGTTGTATTATTCATTTAAAGGACTGGGGAGGGAGAGGCCTAAGCTGAAACAAACAACACAACATGCTCCCCACCTCAGAATGATGATGTTACGTGTTTGCTGTCTGTCGTTGGGTCAATCTGAATCTGCAAACCTGAACCCTTTTTTGCCATTTTCATTTTCATACCCCTCCCCATGTGCTTGCCAGTTGTCCCAAACTTCCCAGCTTTGTAACTTCTCATGTATAATAAATACATTTTATACCCGAATGTAGCTTCGTTCGGTCAAATTTGTATTTCTATATTATTTAATAACAATGCAAAATTATATATTTATAATTAATTCAAATTACTTTATCTTTTAAACTAAAGTAATTTGATAAAATATTTAATAATTTTATAAAATAAATCTCTTATAATAATCTTTAAATTAACATTTGAATTAATTAATTTTACATTATATGAATATTTATTAAATGATATAAGCGTTTAAGTTTTTTTATAAAAAAATAAAAATAAAAGACAAACTACATAGACAAAGAAAAGAAGCTATTTATAAGAAGCAGCTCACTGACATCCTAAAAAAATAATGAGCAACTAGTCAGTAATGTAATTTTTCTCACAATGAACAAAGCACAATTCTGTTGAAGTACTCTAAAATAATAACTATTACATAAGTGTCAACAACGTCTTTAGCATCATTCTGTGTATAAAACATGCGTGGAAATAGATAAAACTGTCTAAAAAAGGTTTACAACCTAACTTTTTCTTGACCTCTTTAAGATTAATCAAATTTATAATAATATATTAAATAATTTTATATAAAAATTATAATATAATATTATATTAAATAAATTAAATTAAATTTTAAATTAAATAAAATCTTAAATTAATTTTTTTTTTGGTTAGAATTTGAGAGTATTCTTATTATGTATCTTCTAAGAGAAAGTATTCCTACTACGTAAATAGTATTGTTTGGTGCATTTTTTTTATTAATATCTTTATTTTTTTATTTTAAAACAACATTATTATTTATGTATTTTAAATTTTTGTTTGTTATATTTATTAATTTTAAGTTTAAAATTTATTTAATTATATTATATTTGTTAATTTAAAATGTGAAACTTTATATTACTAGATTTGCTTAATGATCTATGAAGTGTTGTTTACTCAATTATTTTTGTTGCATGTTTAGTGATTGATTTATTTAAATTAAACATAATTTAAAAAATAAATAAAAACATATAATTTTATTATAAATATTTAAAGTAGTGAACTACTTTTTTATGATTTATTTATATATAAGTCTTATAGTCTTGATAGAGATATATCTATTTAAATTGTTTAATAACCTTTTAAAATAAAATTAAATTTAATAAAAAATTATACCAAATAAGAAGTGAAGTTTAAGTTTTAACCTAGTCTAGTTTACTTCTATTACTGTTGAAAGCAAAAACGTTGTACGTGTTAATGATACGTGACAGTCTCTTTGAGTACATTTGATATGATATTTTAATATGTTAAATAATAATTGCGTTGCTTTGATGAGTTAATGATGGGGTCAACAAGGCAGAAGAGAGAAGTTACCACATAACGCAATAAGCATTATTGGTTGAGACAGGTCATGTGAGTGGTCATGTGGATGGTATGCGAACAACGACTCCTAACCTATCAATTTTTATTTTCGTATCAAATATACGACTCAATCGATCAATTAATGTGCTCTTTGGGAAATCAATGAACGACTCAGCTCCAATTTCGTACGGATCATTAGGAAGAATCAGAGAATGCCAAAGTAAATTTTAATTTTAATTTAAAATGAGTTTAAAATATTATGAAAGTGAAATATCTAGTGAACTTATTTTATTTAAAAGTTAATTATGTATAATTTTTTTAATAAGATTGATTGAAAATAACGTGTCAATTATATATTTTTAATTTTATTATAAATTTGAAAATAAATTTATTACTTAAATTTATTATTTTATATAAAAATACATATTTTATATTTAAATTTTTTTATTATTTTACATAAATTTTTAAATTTTTTAAATACTTATACTTATATTTATATTTATAAAATTTTTCTTTTTACCTTACATAATTTTCATAAATATTTATGTTTATATTTATAAATTCATAGTATCTATCTATTATTTGTAATATTCTCGACTAAAATTTTCAACAATTACTCATATTTAGTTTCATGTAAAAAATAATTTTTTTTTGTCAAAAACTACAGAACTCCGTTACTTTTATTTAGTTTTTCATAAAATCTTAATTATTTTTAAATACTTTTTCTCACCATCTTTTTCCAAACAATCTCATAAATATTTTACTGTAAGTATGTGTTTTTAATTTTTTTTCTATTTCTTTAAATTTGATGTTTAATTTTAAGAGTTTTATATCTTAAATTTATAGTTACTAATACATATAGATTGTTGATATTTAATTAATTTGTTGGCAGTATGTAATAGAAATGTTATTTTAAAATAAATTATTTTTACAAAATTATGATAATTATATTAACTCTATCATTTTATATATAATATTTGTAATTATGGAGTTTAATTATTATTTTTTTAAAATTTCATTATATATAATTATTTATAAAATTAAAGTATAATTTTTCTTTAATTATTAAATTATATATATTTTTAAAATAAAATAAATGTTTATGCATTGCTGAAGCTACTAACTAGTTTATTTTAATACCTACACATAAATGATCTTAACAAAATAAATATTTTTTATGGTATTAAAATTATTTTGAATGAGTAATTACTTCGATCATATTAGGTTCATATTATCTATAAAAAAAAAATATGTTGCAGGATAAATTAAATTTTCAAAAAATTTTAATTTAAAAAAATAAAAAATTCTCAAGTTTAAGTATTTAAAAATTATTTTATAGAATGGTGAAAAAAATTAATAAAAATATTACACGCAAAGTATAAAGTAGGTGATTAAACTAAAGTAATGAATTAAGAATTATTAGACACAATACAAAAAGAGTACGAAGAGCACCAATGAAGATGATTGATCATATGATGTTTAACTCTGTAAAAAAGAGAAATTAAAATATTCGTTTAAAAGAAATTATAAAAAAATATCGTAATAAATAATAATCTTAAAATTTTAGTTTTATAGTCTAACAGTGCATCAAGTAATCTATGTAGCCAAAGATTTTGAAATGATTATGAAGAAATTAATCAGAAAAATTCCAATGCAAAGTAATATATTCTATCGCATCCCAAATTTTGAAGGGAATTCACTCGTTGCAAACAAAAAAATTTGCCAAAAATATTGTAATGACGTTTCATGCAAGTTTTAGTATTCACTTAAGTTGAATCCATTTCTAATATAACTTGAAATTATATTCAATCTTAATATTGAGTCTTCGATGTTTAGTCTTGCAAGATTAATATCTAAATATCTAAAGCAGGAGAAGTGTGTGTAAAGATGCTTCGTATTATTAAGAATATTATATAATTGATTAATTTTAATAAGATTGAGATATATAGATTCATTCATTTCTAATATGTTCATAAGAATTTGATTAGGAATATAGAAACCCATTTGATGGGGGTTACAGCAGCGTTTAATTAGTGGAGTAAACAATAATCAACCAAATATGGTGTTCGGTAATGAATGCTACCATTTTGTCAGATTTGCTGTAGAATTGTGACAACCATGCAACATGCTTTTCTTAATTTGAAAATATATATGATGTTATACTGTAAGTTTAATTCTGAAGCATTCAAAATGAGGATATTCATAGGCATCTACCAACGCGTAATTAGTTTGATGACTTCAAATTAAGACATTTAATTTAAAATCTTGATAAAATTAATTAACTTGAATAGAATCATCACCGACAAACTTAAAAGTGCTTTTTAACCAAATAATCATCATATCAACAACATACGAAGAAGCTTTTTAAAACCATTTAAACTAATTAAGTTTGCTCTTACCAACTTTTAATATAAAAACAAAAGATTAATAGGAAGGATTCAAACTTATAGTGCTCTTGTCTCACTTCACAAATCCTCTAAAGTTAAGGGGGAAACAACAAAAGGAGAATGCGACAAATTGAGTCCTATCTTTCATCCATCATACGGAATATGTTCCAAATTAAGTTATATGCAAAACTTGACGTTTACAATTAGAAACACGTATGACTAAATAGTTGTCCATACATGTGGAGTGAAGTTGCCATCACTTATTTGATCACTTTCATCTTCTACCAATTTTTAAATTGATTTTGCTAAAGATTGTCTTGTTGGTGAATGATTGATGAATTAACAAATAAGTCATTTTCATTAGAAATTACGACAACATATATTAATTATCTTAAACATTATTTTTTTAATTTCTTAGCTGTTGTCTTAATGTACTTTTTAAAAAAAATAACTTAAATACAATAGCTTAAATGTTTTTAGTGTTATTTTTTAATCAAAATTTTACTTCAACAACATAAATAATGAAGATTTAAGTGAATACTAATTTTAATTAAGAAAAAAAAAGTACTTGAGACACTAAACTTAATTATCATCCTTCATCATATAAACACATTTAATTCCAATCTGTATTGCCACATCCGCAAGATAAAGGAAAATTTTGTTGGTTGCTAGTCAGCTTCTCACCATACCGAAGTTGATCCCTTGGCAAATTGAGTTGGATTAAACCAATTTTGTTTATTGCACCATTTTGCGTAAACCAGCTACATGTTTTCGTTATTCACAGTAAAACCAATGATAACTACTCTATTCCTTCCATAACACACATTCACAATGTTTAGCCCCCAAAAAAAGTGAGAAAATTGGATAATGATTGTTATGTGCTATAACGTCTAGAGTGTAGAACATTAACAATGATTTGGATGAGAATATAAATTGTTAAATTTATAAGCTAATGTATGTGGGGGTTACCAATGTCAACACCGTTTATTGCTTTCTTTTTATTTTTGAAATTAAATTCACATAACCATTTTGGTTTGCCAATTGAATGGATAAACTTTCACCCAATAAAAAAGTGAGAATAGAGAGGAAAATCCCTCATTTGAGCAGCTTAACAGGTGTCTGAAAAATTTACAGATGGCATAGAAAAAGAGAATCTATAAGAGGGTTACTTTTGTCCATTCATGATTGCACCTCAACACTACTATACACATCACTGAGACCAGTCCAGAGAGGAAAAAACGGTTAACAATAAATATTGTGTGTGAGAAAGAGAGGGGGAGAGAGAGAGAGAGAAGTTATGCAAACATCCATTTTTTTTCTTCCTCTCTCAGCAACTAAAATGAAAATCTGGAAATTACTTTGATCCTTAATTTGTTGCCTTTCTTCTTTCTTACAGAATGTCAGAATTCTAGCATTCCCAATTCTGCAAAGGCATCACCTTTTTTGGTTTTTATTGTTACTCAGATAACTTCCCCCACCATGGCTTCAAAATCTAGGTAAGTTAGTGACTGTTACATGACTGTCCTGTGAAGATCTGATTTGGGTTTCTTCATTTCAGTTACTTTTATGCACTGTTTTGCTTTTATTGTTTTTGTTTGATCTGGTAATTGTGACATGCTATTGTGGCATTTTCTCCTAAATTTTCTAACTTTCAGATTTATGTTTGTCTCTCTTGTGTTCATCGGTTGAAACTTCGGTGTTATGACGTTTTGATCTTGTACAATAATGTTAGGCCAGGCACTCAGGGTTGTCATACATTGTTGATTGCATAACACTATTGCTGTTCTGATCCTAATTTTTACTTGCTGGTTTATGTGTTTGGTTGCCAATGCTTCTGGACGCTGAATTTGGAATAAGAATTGCTTTCTTGTGGCTTAGATCCATTTATCTGATTGCATAGGGCCACTGCAATTTGTTTTCTTGTGTCGAGTGTTACATTTAATGCATAATTGATCTGCTATTGACATTGTGAATTTAATAGATCCAATCTATCTGAAAATCCCAACAAAGCATCACTGGCAACTCCAAGAGCCAAAGTTAGCAAAGCAGTGTCCAAATCAGAATCTGAATCGCCATCACCTTTGCAAAACTCGCGCCATTCTGTCGAACGATCGCCACGGTCGGTGAATTCGAAGCCCACTGTCGAACGGAAATCGCCAAGACCTGCCTCCACCCCACCTGATGTAAGTTTTGGATTGCACTTATTGTCCTTTCTCTTTCTTTGAGATTTCAGTCATGTTTTCTTTGTTACCAAATGGCTGCACTTGAACTGCTTTCTTCTTCATTTTCATTTCTAATTTTTTGATGAAGCATTTGAAGCTTTTTTCTTGAGGATGCATGACTCTGTCAGTTATTGCTAATTATTTGACAAATTTTGCTTGGGACTTAAAACTTTAGATAATGCAGCGTGACTTACCCTTTATTCTGAGATTTCTAGTGTTTGGTTGGAAACTGCTGGAGATGTTTATTCATTCTGGATACAGAAAAATATTTTGTTTAATCTACTTTCCTTTCAAGGGCATCTGTATTCTGAATTCTGATCTGTGCTAATGTGTTCCTTGGTTTTGTCAAAATCAGAAACAGCCCCCAAGAACTGCAAAGGGTTCAGAGTTGCAGAACCAATTGAATGTTGTTCAAGAAGATCTAAAGAAAGCAAAGGAACAGCTCATTCAGGCTGAGAAGGAGAAGGTAAAAGCAATTGAAGAGTTGAAAACAGTGCAGAGAGCGGCTGAGGAAGCAAATGAGAAACTCAGGGAAGCATTGGTGGCTCAAAAACGGGCTGAGGAGGATTCTGAGATTGAGAAATTCCGAGCTGTTGAATTGGAACAGGCAGGAATTGAAACAGTGAAGAAGAAGGAAGAAGAATGGCAAAAAGAGATCGAGAGTGTGAAGAACCAACATGCTCTGGATGTGGCTGCTCTTCTCTCCACCACTCAGGAGCTTCAGCGGCTTAAACAAGAACTTGCCATGACTAGTGATGCAAAGAACCAGGCACTGAATCATGCTGATGATGCAACTAAAATTGCCGAGATTCATGCAGAGAAAGCAGAGTTCTTTTCTGCTGAACTGACCCGGTTGAAGGCCTTACTAGATTCAAAACTGGAAACCGAGGCTAGTGAAAATAAACTTGTATTGAAGCTGAAAACGGAGATAGAAGCTCTCAAGCAAGAACTTGAAAAGGCAAAGGGTTATGATGAGAAGTTGACTGAGAAAGAAACTTCTATTGAACAACTTAATGTGGAGCTTGAAGCCTCAAAGATGGCCGAATCTTATGCACGTAGCCTGCTAGAGGAGTGGCATAAGAAGGTTGAGGAACTAGAAATGAAGGTTGAAGAAGCAAACAAGATGGAGAGATCTGCATCAGAATCTTTGGAATCTGTAATGAAACAGCTAGAAGGAAACAATGATTTGTTCCATGAAGCAAAATCTGAAATTGCTACTCTTAAAGAGAAGGTGGGTTTATTAGAAATGAAAATTAGGAGACAAAGAACAGATCTTGAGGATTCAGAACGTCAACTTCTTATGGCTAAGGAAGAAAGTCTTGAAAATTCAAAGAAAGTTGAGTCTCTGAAATCTGAACTTGAGACAGTTAGGGAAGAGAAAGTCCAAGCTTTGAACAATGAGAAGCTTGCAGCTTCAAGTGTGCAGGACCTATTAGAAGAGAAAAACAAACTTATCAATGAATTGGAGAATTCTAGGGATGAAGAAGAAAAGAGTAAAAAGGCAATGGAAAGCTTAGCTTCTGCATTACATGAAGTATCTGCAGAAGCTAGAGAAGCCAAAGAAAATCTACTAAACATCCAGGCTGATCGTGAAAGCTATGATACCCAGATTGAAGATTTAAAGTTAGTCCTAAAAGCCACTAATGAAAAATATGAGTCCATGCTTGATGATGCACGGCACGAGATTGATGTTCTTGTATGTAGTATTGAAAATTCTAAGAATGTCTTTGAGAACTCCAAAGCAGATTGGGAGCAGAGAGAACTTCATCTAGTCAACTGCTTAAAGAAAAATGAAGAAGAAAATGTGTCCCTTGAAAAAGAAATAAAAAGATTAGTGTATTTGCTTAAAGAAACCGAGGAAGAAGCGAATGCCAACAGAGAGGAAGAAGCTCAGTTGAAGGAAAATCTGAAGGAAGTTGAGGCTGAGGCGATCCAACTGCAGGAAGCTCTTAAGGAAGTAACAGCTGAGAACATGAAATTGAAGGAGAGCTTATTGGATAAAGAAAATGAATTGCAGAATATGTTTCAAGAAAATGATGAACTCCGAGCTAGGGAAGCTGATTCTTTTAAGAAGGTGGAGGAGTTATCTAAGTTGCTGGAAGAAGCTACAACCAGAAACCACACTGAGGAAAATGGAGACCTTACAGACAGTGAGAAGGACTATGATTTGCTTCCTAAAGTAGTTGAATTTTCTGAAGAGAATGGACATGGAGCGGAGGATATTTCAAAGGTGGAACTTGAAGTCAATCAGGAGGAGGGACAACAAAGCTCACGGGAAGAACATAATATTCTCTTGAATGAAGAGGCTGAAAAAATCGAATCTCCAAAACCTGATGATGTGAATGGAAAACTGAAGGAAGATGAGAGGAAAGAAAAGGATGATTCTGCAGAAGTTGCATTTAAAATGTGGGAAAGCTGCAAGATAGAGAAAAAGGAGTTCTCTCCAGAGAGAGAAGCAGAGCCTGAATCATTGGAAGAGGAAGTTGACTCAAAGATAGAAGGTGGTGAGAGCTTTGATAAGATAAATGGAGGCTCTTTAACAGAGAACATTGATGATGGTGGGAGCTCACCATCAAAACAGCAACAATTGAAGAAAAAGAAGAAGCCTTTGCTTGGAAAGTTTGGAAGCCTGCTCAAGAAAAAGGGGGCTAGCAACCATAAATAGTAACATTATTCAACTTTGAGATACATTATTGCTCATTCAATTGTTTGCACATGTTTGCTTTATGATTTTTGCTTCTCAGAATAGGGTCTTTAATGGTTGTCAAGGCTTGTAATATTGTTTAGGATTTTAACTAGTTCATTTGGGTTGTGGCTCTCCATGTTAGTAGCAAATTATATGATGCAAATGAAACATTTTTCCCCTTTATTTGTGCTCATGGCATGCCCCTTGCCCTCCTATCTAGATTTGTCGAAAGAAGTGGCAAGTTGGATTGTATTTTTATGTCTTCCCAATTCAAATGAAAGTCTAGACAAAATTTTCCATATTTCAGTTCTGACATTCATTTGGGACTTCCTTTTAACATATAATTAATGACCATTTAATGCATTTGCATTACAATGTTGTTCGAAGCCTTAAATGTTGATTCTACTTGTAATGGCCCTATCAATGTAATATTAATATTTTCTTAATAAAATATGGTCTTTTAAATGAAATGTTTAATTTTTAATCTTTTAAGAGATTTATTTTGATTCTTTTTATAAGATCCTTCTAATTAGATTAGCGTCAAACAAAAAATATTATTGTTATTATTTTTAAAACTGTTGAAAGCAATTAATCAGATATCTTAAAATTAAAAGCAACAATGAACGTCGTCAATTAGTGTTTTTAGTATATCGATATTGTTCCTTTTTTTAGTTGCTTTCTTTTTTCATGCATATGTTTAATAGAAAGAGAACAATAAAAACTGTCTACCTTACGTTTCTCCATCCAATAAAAAGGATTGAAATCACATGTCCTAGTGTCCTTTCTTCTTTCTTGTCTCTCAGTAAAGAAACAGTGTGATTAATTTTTTTTTCTCTCTTTTTAAAATATTATCCTCTTATTTATTTATTGTTAGTTGCCATTTTTCGATTGAGAGGCGGGGAAGGAAACACACAAAAGGAACAAGTAACTTCAATATATCTACATTTTAATTATATGCAAATATTTTGATAAGCGTTATGTAATTGTATATTTTTTAATTTTTAAAATAAAAGATAAATAATTATCAGAATTCCATTATAATAATGGTATTTGTGTTCAATTAAATAGTAATGATATTTTAAGAAAAAAATTATAGCCATTAACAATTGATATAATTTATGAACATATTTCTCCCTCATTAGATAAATGAAGGAAGTAAAACTATTTATAAATTGTTTTTCCTTGCTTGTTGGATCAAAATCAATAGAAATAGTCTCACCTAACAGATAACAAAAATTCCTCTTTTCACCAAATGGTAGATAAATGTATCAAGATATAAGAAATATTTCCGTGTTGCTTTCTCAGCGCCAGAAGAATTATTGCATGAGTAAATAAGTGTTTGGGTTGTGGCTTTCATTAAGGTTTTGAGAAGTTTGACTTGAATTCTCCTTTTTACTTTAGAAACCTCTTTCTAGTTTCTACTCCAACACGAAATGAGTCATTTTTACAGTTATGTACTGTGTTAGTCTCCATAACAAATGGTCATTAATTAGTACTCACTCATTTTTTCCCATTCTTCAAGTTTCAAATTGTTCTGTTTTGTTAATTTGTTTTCCTCTTTTGATCTTTGACTCTTCTTCTAAAGTGTTTATTTCTAGTGTAAAGGTAAGGCAGACAAGTCATCTTATTTTATTTTCAGCCATTCAAATTTCAGGGCTTAAAAAAATATAATAACTCTAGTATCCATAACACAATATTATTTAAGAAAGAAGCATATATATGAATTGAGTGAGATTTTTGTGCTACAACTGATATATGTTGATGAATTTGAAACAATTTTATTCAGTAAAATAAATTAGTCTCATCTCTATACAATGGAAGCTTATAAATACTTGAATACAAAAATGAAATCATCTTCAAACACATGAACCAATCATTTCTAAATGAACAGTAGGCGTTGATCCTAGAGTCTAGAGATCAATGATAATTCATATTATCGCTTTGATAAACCTTGAATGCCGTTGTCTTTTTATGGAACTGTAGACTATTGCTGGTTACTGGTTAGACTCTTGGCTGCAAATATAGGTAGAAAAAATGAGTGTGTCATCATGCCAAAAATAAATAAATAAAATAAAAGTACAATAAGCACAAGTGGAGCTAGAAAAACATTGTAATGTATAAAAAATTGCTTACTCTATGAGATCTTTCCAATAAGCATCGCTTACTTCCTCATACATGAAATCTCCCCACATTTCAAAGGTGGTTGAAGTGGAAGAACACTCATTTGGGTTTACGTTGTTTTCCATTTGCTTGAGAGTGGAACGTTCAGGTGAGGCTGAAACAAGATTTGGAAGAGAATTCAACGGTGTTGAGGAAGAATTTGGGGCATCAAGTTGTTCATCAACCTTTTGAAATTTCATGCAATTACTATCACTGCATCCATTCATGTGGTGATACCCAATGGATAGAGCTTGCTGCTGATGAGGGGCTTCAAAGCTTTGGAAATTTGGCTGATTTTGAGAAGGAAAACCAGTTGAACTATTATAAAGGTTTTGGAGCTTAGAGTTATTCAATCCTAAAACTTCATACAGAAAACCTTCTGGCAGTGAGGATGATGATCCAAATGGATTGAGAAGCTCCAAGTTTGAGGTAGGATTAGCACCAAGTACTTGAAGTATGTTTTGCAGCAATTGGAGTTTGGCTAGTTGTGTGGCATCTGATTGCAGCTTTAGAGCATTAATATCCCAAGTGTTTGTGAAATTACTCACAATGTTTGTAGCAGCCAGCAACTGTTGGAGATTGGATATAAGACTAAGGTGATCTTGTCTTGGACGATGAGTCACTGGATCTAATCCCATTTGCAAAAGCTTTTTCTTTAAATGAGTGTTCCACAAATTCTTAATTTCATTATCAGTCCTACCTGGCAGATGACCTGCTATAGCTGACCACCTAAAGATGGAAATAAAACATATACAAATCATAGTTTATTTATATATATAGTATTCTGAAAAATTAATATAACATTGTATAAGCCTAGTAGTAATGATATTGAATTAATAAAAATTTGGAGATTACTTATTCCCAAGAACTGCATGTAAATTGATGATTAGTTGCTGTTCTTCCTCAGAGAATTTTCCTCTTTTGATATCAGGCCTCAAATAGTTAGTCCACCTTAGCCTGCAACTCTTCCCACACCTATTCAATCCTGCAAGCTTTGGAAGTGCTCTCCAACTCCCATGGCCGTGTTTCTGAATGTAATCCACCAAAATTCTATCCTCCTCTGGAGTCCATGGTCCCTTCTTCAAACCACTTTCATCACTGCATGGTGTTCTCCCCATCATCATTGACACTGCATGAACATGTTGAAAATAGTATAAGAATTGGTTTAGTTTCTGGATTAGTTAATTCATGATAAGAAAAGAGTGTAAAAGGAATGCAAACCTTTGGAGTGTTGTGAAGTGGAGAATGAAAGTTTAGTATATAGAATTATACAATTGCTCTGTTGAAACTTAGATATTTACTAGAGAGGTGCATGTTATATATATATATATATATATATATATATATATATAACACGTTGAACACTTTATAAGACTTGTTTATCATGCTAATTATTTTGGAAAATTCCAAGTTTGTCCTATATTTATACATATAGATAACGACCCTTAAGGGCATCTAAAGACACTCCTCAGAATGCTTCTTCTCATAATGTTTAATTTCAAAGAATAGGGGTAAAATTAATCAACTGCACACATTTTCAATGAACAGTTTACAGAAATGCCTTTCTTTTGATAAACCATATTAGTTTCTTCATCATTCTTAAAACTTGATAAATAGTCTCTCCAATATGTTCTGACCAAAAAGGAAATAACGATAGATCTTCATAATTATAATAATTATTATTAATTTTTCTAAATGGAGAATGTGTTTAGAACATAACGTAAATTTATACATGCGAATATGTAATTCCTTTTTCTCTCTCAACCACCTATATTAACCTAAACAAACTGAATCAATTCCCTTTATCTTCTCCTTTTCTAATTTGTCTTCACTTGAATTTTATGTCTAAATATTTTTACAATTGACGAGCATGGAAACAGCCAGGTCAATCGTCAATGTTAATTCTGACATTTATGTGTAACTTAACAAAGAAATTAAAAGAATAAAGGGATGAATTTTCTAATGATGAAGATCCAAATTTTCAACCTTAACTTGGCTTGTCCAACAAGAACAAGGCACAATAAGGCGCATACGTATAACCATTGCCACCTTCTCCGTACTTTACACCAACATGCATGGCAACGGCTAATTAAGAGGCAACACATCAGCAACAAACTTAAACAACCAACTAGGGTAGGTTTCATGGCCCATCTGGAGAAGAAACCCCTCCCTCTGAAAATATCGATTATGTATAACAATCTATATTCACATCATAAAGATGATATACACCCCCATTCTATAATATTGTCAGATGGGTTTTCATTTCTATTTCTTATAAAGTATATACACTCTTAGAAGATATATAACTATATATAATAACCAGTTTCCTTGTGTAACCCCAACAATTAAAGCCCTTAAGGCATTGCTAACGAATTCATAATTTCTATTTATTAACCGTATACATGAATAGTGGCGAGTTGTTATTCCATGCAAAGAATGCATTGCAAGCAAAATTACTGGGTGTGTTTTAACAAGAGTATATGAGAAGGTTTTTGTATATGTTTAACTTTACTATAAAAATATGACTACAATTATTAGATTTTAAGAGAAATCTACCTAAAATATACTTGAGACTTGAGAGTAGAAAACAAATATTAGGTGTAGACGAATTAAACTCTGAATTAAATCACCCTAAACATATTTTATACATATAATTCACCTAATAATTTCCATGTAAGTAGAGACATAAGACATTGTCAATGGGATTGCAAATCGATGAAATTTAGCTAGCTATAGGAGAGACTCTCCTTTTATTCAATCATATTAGGTAGTGCAAGGGAAGATGCTTGCGTACGTATGTTCACTCCATCACCATTTTTCATAGCAAACAATCATGACAACCACAGGGTCAACCCCTGATTGGAAAAGGATTATACGTATATTTTTCTTTTGTGTAACGTATCTTTTAGCTTTAAGAACCCCTCAACCTTTCTGTGATTAGGTGAGGATCAGAATAACTTTAAGAATGTTTGACTGCAAAGCCATTGATACTTAATTTGCTGTTTTATATCAGAATTCCCAATCTCACACTCTATCAATTGGTCTAAGCCGTCATTTTTATATCTATCTGAATTACCAAAATGTTTCTCAATCATAAGTCCAAATAACAGAAATTTTGGCACTATATATATAAATATAATTGATCATTGTTTATATTGAAATCATATTTTTTATACAACGAAATCTCCAACTAATCTTAGTGCTCCGGTTGCAACAGTTCATCTTCCTTTTACCAAACAAATGGATTTTATATATAATTTGTATCAGGTTTTTGAACACTGAACCAGATGGATACGCTACTCCCTGTTGGGAAACAATTAATGATAAATAATGGGAGCAAGCAACTAATCAATCGTTGTGTACACTATATCCCACATGGTATATAGTTTGATCATAGTTTAAATATAATTAAGAAGCATCCAAATGTACATATATCACGGCTCATGTCACTGCTTTCTTTGAATTGTCAACATTATTAACAATTCAACAACTTAAAATGAAGTTGGCGTCTTTATATATAATTAAAATATTTAGTTAATCTTATTTAATCCTGAAAAAGGAAATGCATGGTTGGATATACCAAGGCCACTCTTGCTCTACTCTCAAGTTAATCTTGTTATTCTATAATATAAGGAAGTGAAAGAGAGAGATTAAGGGCCGGTTTATGTATTGTGCAACGACACACGTATAATAAGAAATTTAAAATGAAGTTTCTTATTACCAAATGAAAGCCATTTTTTAAAAGTAATTTAGAGTATTTAATAAGATGCTGTAATAAGAAATTTAAAATAAAGTTTCTTATTACCAAATGAAAGCCATTTTTTAAAAGTCATTTAGAGTATTTAATAAGATGTTGTAATACTTTTATATAATTTTATGTGGATATACAATAAAAGAAAAAAAAATTTGATATCACAAGTGTGATTGAAAATTTATTTCAATTAATTTATAATTTATAAGTATATTTGATCAAAATAAAAATATTTAATAAGTAATTTATTTCATTAATTTATAATATTATTTAAATTTTTATTTTAATTCTTCAAGTAAATAGAAAATAAAATGAAACAGTAACATAAATTGGAGGATATATAGTATAATAAAATAATAAATTAGGTAATAAAAAAAGACAACGGAAGGTTATGAGTGAGATATAAAATAATAAAGAAGAAAGATAATTAAAATATTGATATTAGAGAAAATATTGGGATAAATATATAACTATAAAAAAAAGGGCATTTGATAGTTTAACAATGAATATATAATTATTAAAAAATATATAACAATAACATAGGTATAAAACTAGGAGTTGAAAATAATTATTATAATGATAAAAATAATTTTAAATTTAAAAAATAAATAAAAATTCTAATTAAATTTACCACTTTATTAATTTAAATTAATAATAATAAAAATTTTAAGGTTCTATTCTCTTTTTAAAAGCCAGTGATGATCACCTTACACAAACCTTGTGCATATCAAATGTGACCAAGCATTTTGGGTGTTAAGGTCGCATTTGTTCAAAATATTTTTTAATCTTAAAAATCATTTAAAAATAATAAGAATATAATTTTAAAATTTGTTTAATAACTGGTTAATTCTATTTAAAAGTTATTTTTAAATTAAAAGTTTTTTATAGTATATATGTTCTTAGATTCTAGTGTTTAATTGGAATAAAAAGAAGGAAATTTTTAAAAAAATTTATTTGAACAATCATTAAATATTTCTTTAATTAAAGAAAAAGGTCAAAATAAATTGAGAAGCTAAAATATCTACTTATATGGTGCCTTTATCTTTATACCTTATATGCATATTATGAGAGCAAGAAGAGTAAAAAAAAGAAAGAAATAGATTAAAACACTTTTTTTATAAAATGTGCTTGAGAATTACATTTTTTTAAAAAAAGAGAGGAGATAAATTTTTATTTTTAATTAATATTTGTAATATTATATTTTAAAATAAAAATAATAAATTAATGTAAATATAATAGATTATTTTTTATAAATATTATATAATTCTTTAAATTAGAAATATCATTCCTTCCCCCTCTAATTTGTTCTTGATGCAATAAACCGTGTTTTACGATATCTGACAAGTAGAAGTGACATCACGAATACAATAGTCAATTTGGCGGTTAAAAGGATGGTAAGGGTTGCCGGGGTTTTCTCCGATCATTACCTCATTATACACATTTACAAGTCACCTCTTTTGCTTTTGCAATTTAATATTATCTTATCTCCTCTTAATTTCCTTTAATTCGTTTAATCCAATTCACATATTCTTCCTCCCTTAGTACTTGTTTGCCTCATCTAAACTAATGTTTACGTTAGGGAAAGCAAATACTTTATTTTTGTTAGCTGGATTAGCAGAGATCTGTGACTGTTTAGTAGTTCAACTTACTAGCCCAAGAAAATCTTGTTTACAGTCCTGGGTCCATCAAAACCATGATTATTATCAGAGTTGGTATAAGGAAAAGATTTCAATTTTATATGTTTTCACATTGATAATAGCTTCTTCGTTTGTCCATTTATTTCGTCGTTTTCTTTTCCCCTTTTTCGAATGAATATGTGCTTAGCAGATATTATCTTCAATAACGTAAGAGTGAAATTTCAGAATTTGACACAATTTTCTCCATCAAATATGTGTTAGGCTTGTTTTCACGAATTTTATTGAATTAAAATGGTGAATAAGATTTTTAAAATGTAAGGATCACTGAAAACACTATTTTATTTGTATCACGTGATTAGGCAAGAGTTACAGAAACTCTATTCCCACTATGTTTAATTCGCAAACACAGCGTGGATAAAATTGCTGCCCTCCATAAACGTGTCTTTTCTTCTTTCTTTTTCTTTTTCTTTAATCTAAAATATAACTTAACTTGGTATCACCGAATTCTCATTTAATAGGATACGTTTCTCAATAATACAAGAAGCACACACTTAAATGAATTAAAAACAAACAAAGATAAGGAAGCAAAGCAAGTTGTTTGTTTTTACATGATAAGAAATTATATATATTAAATTTTTATTAAATATTATTATATAACTCTTTATGATGCATAAATGGTTACTGTTTTGGTTCTTTTGCAGCCTTGTTGAGGTAATTCTTGGCGAGTTGTGCAATGGTTGCCACTGGCTGGACAGAAACAAGCGAGGCGTTGGATGCATCCTCTTCCTTGAGTTCATACTCGATTGTAGATTTGATTATGCTCGACTCTTCACCTTTCTCAATTACTTCAAAACGAACTCTAAAGAGAGTGAATCCCAACTCCAAGTACCCTCCTTCCACTACCTCTGTTTCTTTTATGCGCTTCTCATTATCAATCTTGGTGAACTTCTCTTTGTAAACAGCAGGTCCAGGCACACCTGATTCAACTCCAACCAAACACAATCAATAACAAAAATTATATATATAATATATTGATTAATATGTGTTTGAGATTGTTACCTGGAGCGAAACTTAGCTTGAGGACAGTGCCAACCCCTCCATCTCCTTGGGTTAACTCAACCTTGTGGAACAGTTCAGGCAACTCTTGCTCAACGAGTTTTCCTATTCGAAGGGTACCAAAGAGATCCCATGCCTCACTTGCCGGCACGTGCAGCTCTAGCTCATGCTCAAGTTGCCCAAACATCTTCTCTCTCTTCAAAACGCAGTTCAAGTGTTTATGTGAAGTATACCAACTCGCCATAGAAATATCCGATATTTTACGTATGTGAAGACAAGTGCTGCAGGCTTAGAATCTATGCTTTAGTTGGGTGCCAATATGCCTTTCATACCATGTCACGACAACTACGTCCTAGATTTTTTTAAAATAAGAAAACATCCAATTGCAGGCCCTTCCATTTTTTTTATTTAATTAAGTCCTTTGTAGTGTCCAAATGACGGTTATCTCTCATCAATAATTGTGAAAGTACCCTTTTTATTATTAATTAAAATTTATTAAAAATTGAAAAATATTAAAAGAAACATCAATTTAAAAATAAAAAGTGAAATCAAATATACTTTTTAATAAATTGTAGTTAATAAAAAAATTATAATAAAAAGTATGTTAAAAAATGTGTTGACAGTATTATTATTATTATTTTTTTTAATGAATAGTCACCGAATCAATTTGTTTATGTATATCTATGTCGGATGTGTCTATAGTAGTGTATTCGCTTTTTTTATTTTAATATTATAAAAAAAAACAAATTAAAAGAATTGTGAAAGTAATTAAAATTTATTAAAAATTGAAAAATATTAAAAGAAATATTAATTTAAAAATAAAAATGTGAAATCAAATATATTTTTTATAATTTTTAATAAATTTTTGTTAATAATAAAAAATATGTTAAAAAATATACAGACAATATTATTATTATTGTCTAATGAATAGGCACCGAATCAATTTGTTTATGCATATCTATGTCCGATGTGTCTACTAGTAGTGTATTTATTATCACACCCACTTGTATGTTTATATTTTTAAATAATTTTTATTTAAAATAATTTTTATAATTATATTAATAATAAAAATATTTTATAAAAATTTCAATTAAAATAAAAATAAACATATAAATATAATAACAAACACTTTTTTTAGTTTATAAAATGATTATTCAAACTACTTTTTGAGTGCAAAATTGATAAAAGAAATAAAAAGATAAATAAGTAAATAATGATGAAAATATAATAAAAATGCATATAAAAATAGTGTAAAAATATAAACATATATTTATTGTTGATTGAAAAATATATCTTATTTTGTGAAGAAATATTAGTTGAGTTACACATTACATGGACAACGCATGACACAATTCTATGTAGTGCATTGGGATAAAAATAAGTTAAGTTATGATAGATTTTATATAAAAAGGTTTGACCTATTTAATAATTTTAAAATATATGTTTAACTTATTATTATTTTTTATTTAATTTAGTCTCATATTTTTAAGAGTTTATTTTAATCTGTTAGTCTTTTCAATAGTCTATTTCATATTGAAACTTTAATATATATATATATATATATATATATATATATTTATTTATTGCTCTTAATTAAAAAATATATTTTGTTAACCTAAATAAAATATAGTAAAAAGAGTTATATATAATATAAACAAATATAAAAAAGATAATTGATAAAATAAACTATTGTTGTAATTAAAAAATAAATGCAAATTAGTATTATGCATATAAAATAAATCAAATAACAATAATACAAAAGACTTACGTAAGAAATACTCTTCAACTCAAAAATGATTAAGGTTTCTAATTTAAGATTTTATTTATTTTAAAATTTAATTTATTTAATATAATATTATATTATTTTTATGTAAATTTATTTAATATATTATTATAAATTTTATGAATTTTAAATAAGTTATTTTAATAGATCTAATAAACTTTTTTTTAATCTCAATCTGACTTATTTAATTAATTAATTTTTAAAAAAATTTAAATTAAGTCTATGACTTAAATAGGCTCAGTCCACTAGACTTTAAAAAGGTTAACTATAAAGCTTCTGTCAAATAGCTTAACTTATTTCTATCCTCAATTATGTGTGTATAATTTTATAAATTTAAAATATTTTTATTTTATATTATTGTTTAGAAATTAATTTTTAGCATATAAAATATTTTTTATGTTTTCAATATAATGAATGATTATTTTTTTAATAAAATCTTATCAATTTTAAATGTTAAAATTTAACTTTAAATTTAATATTAATAGTTTTTAAAATTATGCAAACTCTGCCAATAAAATTTAGAAAAACAAAGCAATAAAAGGGTAATAAATTAAAGCTTGACATATTAAGTAAATAACTTAATCAAATAATTTTATATTTTTAATAAAATAAAAATTTATCCATAAGCTTGATTATAAACTCTATTGAAATACATTAGGATATATTTTAATTTTTTAAAACTTGTAAGCAATTCCTTAAGTCATCTTCTTTTTTTCCTTTTTCTTTTCTCAATTTGCATGTTGGTTCCTTGACTTATCAGAAACAGCTTTGTTTTTAATCACTACGTGCTTTTTTACAGAAGCGTTATATGGAATCAATTTTTCACCGTAAGAGTTTGAAAGTAAAATTTATAATTAAAATTAATTTAAGCATATTTATTAACTAGGAGATTACACTTATATTAATATATAATTTTATTTTTATTTTAAAAATTTATGAATTAAGAAAATTATTAAAAAAAATATCTTCCTCTTTTTTCTTTTTTTTTAAGAGTCAAACTCCTAAATATATCTTTAAATTTTAAAACTTTATAAAACTTAACTTAATTTATTTCACTTGCACCCACGTTTGATATTGAGATTTGTAATATACAGAATAAGGGAATCGTTTGTACAACATAATACATCATTTTTATATGAGAATATTTATTTAAGTAATTAATTCTTTTCTACATTTGCACTCATAATATAAGTGTAATTTAATGTTTTAAAATTTGAACATAATAATCAATTTTTTTTTTTTGCTAATAACATAATAATCACTTTAAACAATCAATGAATCGAACCATATATGAAATAATTATGTTTATAGTTAATTAGTTCTTACTTATTCTCTCTCTGGTTGGACTATTAATGTACTTTTATTTGTTGACTTAATCAACTCTTGACTTATAAGTCTTGCTGGTTTGATATCTAATTCGATTCTTGAAACATTGCATAAATATTAAAGGAAAACCCATAAAATGTTATCTTCTTCATTATTATTTATGATGGAATTAATCATTTTTTTAATATGTATTTGTAGCATCTTTAGATATCTAATAATAGATAAAACTTGATGTAACTAATAAAATAGCATAAAATGATATAAGATAAATTTATTATATGATTATTTAAATAATTTTTTTTTATGAAATAGATTAAAACTTTATTTTATGTTTTCAGGAAGTAAATGAAATGATAAAATGATAGTTGGTTTTATTTCATCTTACCCAACACCTCAAATTAAAAGAAAGAAAAATAAAAAAAGTGTTAAATAAAATAAACCATATTTTTAACAACTAGAAAAGGTTATTATGTCACTGCATATTTATAATACCTTTTTTCGAACACGTTTAATATTATTATTTATTACGAAAAAATAACGTGAATCCTTGTAAACAACGCGAGTCTCATATTTAATTTCTTATTTAATAGATTTCATATAAATTTTATTTATTAAATAAAAAATAGTATACATGCAGCATGCTACTAATATTTATCATAACAGCTAATACCATTCCACCTTATTTAACATAATTTCATCCTTTTTCGTGAATCGAATCACATGCCTATATACCTCTTCAACGACTAGACAAAAGCATGTATATCATAAAACTTTTGAATGTCCAATGCTTATTAAGCAAATTCTTTCCTTTAGATTTCCTAAAAATAAATCCATGAAGCGAATATTTCCCATCACTAAAGATATTTTCTTGGTGTCACAAAAGTGGATCAACAAGAAACTATATATAGCAAAGGAGTAAACTCATCAAAGCTTCATTGCCTTCAACAATCACCATTTAGCAGAATTTGCGTTAGTGTGTGTTCACAATTAATCATAAGCAGCATCCAATTAATGTGATGCCTTCTCTCACTTATTTTTCTGCCTCAGCTACGTACCATAATTGGCAAAGTGTATTTCCTTTCTTGTAAACCTCTTCTATGTGACACATAATTTCGTCCTTCCACTTACACAGCAGATAAAAGCTATAATTCTGTGTGCCCATGAATAAGCATGTTTCATTTCATAGTCTCAATCAATTGAAATGGCGACTCCCAATTCAACATGTCCACCACCAATGGAGGCCACGTCCAATGGAGCGTTTCAACATGAAAACCCCTTGGATTATGCACTTCCCCTTTTAATTGTTCAGATGTGTTTGGTTGTGATCTTCACCAGATTCCTTGCATTCCTTTGCCAACCTCTAAGACAACCCAGAGTTATTGCAGAGGTCATTGTAAGTTTTCTTTTCCCTATTGATAGGACATTATTATGTATATATATATATATATATATATATATAGAGAGAGAGAGAGAGAGAGTATAATTTAGAGTTACACCCTTCATTGTTTTGTTTTCTTTAATGAATAATAAATACCTTGCTTATCATAAAAAGAGTCTTGTTGCATCATTTTCTTATTGCATTCACCTGTGTCAAACTCAATCCCCAAATTATTATCATGATGGCCATTTGAATTCCTTTTTATTCTAACTCATGCAAAAAGTCTAACGCGGAGTTGGATGCATCTTGCATTGGAAAATAAATGCAGGGAGGAATACTACTTGGACCATCAGCAATTGGAAGGAATGAGAAATTCCTGCATACAATATTTCCCAAGAGAAGCTTAACTGTGCTGGAAACAGTTGCCAATATTGGCCTCCTATTCTTCTTGTTTCTGGTGGGTCTAGAGCTTGACATGCGTTCTTTACGCAGAACTGGTCATAAGGCATTGGGTATTGCCATTGCTGGAATCACATTCCCTTTTGTTCTTGGCATTGGCACATCATTTGCTCTTCGAGCCACCATATCCAAAAATGTTGATTCAGCCTCATTCCTTGTCTTCATGGGTGTTGCTCTCTCAATCACTGCTTTTCCCGTCCTTGCTCGTATCTTAGCTGAGCTCAAACTCCTCACAACTGATGTTGGTCGCATAGCAATGTCTGCAGCTGCTGTTAATGATGTTGCTGCATGGATACTACTTGCTCTTGCTATAGCTCTATCAGGCTCTGAGACAACACCTATAGTTTCTTTATGGGTCTTGCTTTGTGGTCTCGCTTTTGTCCTCTTTGCTATCTTTGTCATAAAGCCCTTGCTTGCAATGATGGCTAATCGTTCACCTGAGGGTGAACCAGTGCAGGAGATTTTCATATGCATCACCTTGACAGTAGTCTTGGCTTGCAGTTTTGTCACTGATACTATTGGCATTCATGCACTCTTTGGTGCTTTTGCAGTTGGCATAGTTATGCCCAAAGATGGTCCCTTTGCCGGGGTTTTGATCGAGAAGATAGAGGACCTCGTAATGAGCCTTTTCTTGCCACTCTATTTTGTGTCAAGTGGTTTGAAGACTAATGTTGCAACCATAAGTGGTGCACTTTCTTGGGGATTACTTGCCCTTGTTATATTCACTGCTTGCTTTGGAAAGATCATTGGCACATTCGTTGTGTCAATGTTATGTAAGGTGCCTTTTAGAGAATCCTTGGCCCTTGGATTTCTCATGAACACAAAGGGCTTGGTGGAGCTCATTGTCCTTAACATTGGCAAGGATCGAAAGGTATCTTCCATGCACATTAATTAACAAAAGCAACTCATTCAGTTTGAAGTAACCAATCATATATATATATTTGATGCAAATGGGCAGGTACTGAACGACCAAGCATTTGCAATTTGTGTTGTGATGGCACTGGTCACCACTTTCATTACCACTCCAATAGTGATGGCAGTGTATAAACCAGCTCGTAGGGGATCACCTTACAAGCATAAAACAGTTCAGCGCAATGATCCTGACTCGGAGCTTCGGGTGCTAGCATGCTTCCACAGTACACGCAGCATTACTACCTTGATCAATCTAATAGAGTCATCACGGGGAACCCGAAAACGAGGAAAGCTTTGTGTGTATGCCATGCACTTGATGGAACTATCAGAGCGACCTTCAGCCATCACAATGGTTCACACGGCACGTAACAATGGCATGCCATTTTGGAACAAAAAATATAACAATAGAGATCAAGTGGTCATTGCATTTCAGGCTTATGGTCATCTAAGTAGTGTCAATGTTCGTCCCATGACTGCCATATCAGCTTTCAACAACATTCATGAAGACATTTGTACTAGTGCACACCAAAAGCGGGTAGCAATCATTCTCCTCCCTTTCCACAAACACCAACGTGTTGATGGGTCTATGGAGTCATTGGGAAACTCATTACATGTAATGAATGGTCTTGTGCTTACCCATGCTTCTTGTTCTGTGGCAATTTTGGTTGATCGTGGGCTTGGAGGGACAACCCAAGTCCAAGCTAGTGAAGTGTACTTCAATGTTGCTGTGGCCTTCTTTGGAGGGAGTGATGACCGTGAAGCACTTGCCTATGGAATGAGAATGGCCGAACATCCTGGGATTTTGCTAAGTGTTGTTAAGTTTATTGCTCCATCTGGGATGACGTTGGCTTTTGGAGCCAAATTGGTTGGTGTAACAGCCAACAACGACAAGAAATTAATAAATGTGGGTGTGGCTGGTGACACTACCCAAGATGAAGATAAACAAGAGGATGAAAAATTTTGGTCTGTGTTCTTAAGTGCATGCTGCAAGAGTGGAGGGTCAATAATATATGAGGATAGGTTGGTGGAAAGCAGAGAAGATGTTGTATCTGTATTGAGTGAAAGGACTAGGAGCAATCTTATTTTGGTAGGTAGAATGCCACCAGTGGCACCTTTGATAGACATAAGTGATTGTCCAGAGCTTGGTCCTGTTGGAAGCTACTTGGCTTCTTCTGAGTTTTCCACTTCTGCATCAGTTTTAGTATTTCAACAATACAATCCCAAAACGGACAAATACCCATTGGTTATGGAGATTTCTGATTACTCAAATATGCCAGACACGCCCATGAATTCTCCATAGAGGTGATCATAGAACATGCATATGCTGTATATTATATAGGATCAAGAGTTGTTTCTGATGTTACTGACTCCAAAACCAGATAAGTAATGACGATGTGTAGTTACCTCTCTGGTTTGCCGATTTTAGACTTAGAAACCAAATAAAAATAGTAGACCAATTCTGAAGTTTGAGGTGATTTGTCTTTAGAATTTGAGATGCCATTTCTACTTCCATTATTTTGGCTTAAGCGAGGTTTACAATGATCAACAGAATAACCTTTTAAGAACTTTTAAGAACAGAGGAGTGCTAGTAACACAATTTATAACACATTCTTTCTAACTCTGTAATTGAAATTTTTGAAAATTACAAAATTATGAGCAGGATTTGTTAAAGTAATTAAGAATGAGACCCATGTAATTTTGTAATTTTTGTTAAATTTCATTCAATAATAAAGAGCATGTCTTAGTGTGTTAAAATATGTAAGCAGTGGGTATTATTGGTTTCAACACTGGAAATAACAAACATTAGTTAAAAAAAATAAAGAATTAAACAGAGTCATAGGCAATACATTCATTTGCCAGGATTCTCTTATTCTGTGTTGCTCACACAAGATAATGGCTTTCTTTGCACTTTGCCCACCTCCACTTAAAGCCACTTGATAGAGTACCAAATATGAGTAATATATATCATGAAGCAGTACAAGACATGGATCAGCTGTGGGCTCAATTCATGGGAAGCCCAAAATAGGGAAAGTGTTAAAGTAAGAAAAAGTGTGTTAGGGGTGAGACTTAGCTACATGTTCCTGACCTGGTCAATTGGTTATTACACCTTGACTCTGTTTTTTTCTTTTGTAGGAGCTGAGGCTCATCATCTTTAGTTTCATCAGTAATGTCTCCTTTTATATCATTCTGTTCCTATCACCACTAAAAGCTCTATAATATGTGAAATGGAAATTATGATTCTTCAAATGATTTATTTATGGATAAATGAAACTGCAAAAAGATACCCAAGTGGCATGCATAAACGATGTGTAATATAAGGCCATCAAAATTTGAAACGAAAAAGGAAGTGAAAAGGCAGAGCATATACTACAGCATTATATTAAATTCTAACGCTGAAAATCAGTCAATAATCACTTTGACAAATGCATTACTGGTATGTTTATTTCTGCATCTTTATGCTGTGGATATGTGTATTTCTTAAGCAGTTAAGAGTAGCTTATGAATCCATGTATATGCTATGCAATATTAATTGATATCCAAACACGAATTACAAACTATGGTAGTGGAAGATTATGACAAAAAAAAAATATATGGGAGAATTTAAATTTAAAATATTTTATTTGAATTAAAAAAACTTTCAAATTTTTAAGAATGAGTAAAGATTTATAATATAAAAAGGGGCAAGATTTTTTTACACCAGTGTAAATCTAAAACTTTTAACCATTCATCTAACTTATATTTAATGGCTACATTTTATAACACTATTTAACTTATACTCAGTTTTTCTCTCACACTAACCTTATTTAATGTGTTATAAATTAAATTATAACACATTAAATTATTTTTAAGAAGTGAGATATAACACATTAAATAAGATTAATGAAAAAAAAATTGAGTATAAATCAAACAGTGTTATAAAATGTAGCTTTTAGATGTAAGTTAGATTAATAGTTAAGATTGAGTGTAAGAGTTTTAAACTTATAAGGGTGTAGAAAGATTTTATCCTATATAAGAATATGGATGAAAATAATTCACTATTTTTGTAAAGAGCATATGATCTAACTTATTTTAAGTTTATATCATGTCAAATTTATTAACTAAATAAACTAAGTAAAATTTTTATTAAATTATATTAAATATCATTTAGTTTTAATATATATTTTTAACAAATAATTAATATTAGCAATTATTGTAACTAAAGTTCTTCTATTAAAAATATTGAAATTATTGTAATATTTAGTTTATAAAAATTACTTTTAAGAAATAATAATAAAGTTATTACAGTAATTCATTAGCAAAAATTATTCCTAACAAGAATACTATTGGAATAAATAATTAATAAAAATATTTTCAAGCTATTTACATTTTTTATAATAATAATTATTATTATAAATATAATATTTTAAAGTTATATATATATATATAAAGGTCAAGCTAACATGAGTTAGCAAAATGAGTAGGTGTTTTTTTTAAAACATTAAATATATTTTAAAAAACATAAACGATTCAGATTTTTAACATGTAACTTAATAATATCAATTTTTATATATTTACAATTTAATTCTATGTGAAAATCTATAAAATTGTTCTTTGAACTTTCAAAATTTGTTATTTTTTTTCAAGTTACATAACTTATATGTAAAAATGGAAACAGGTTAAGTTAGGTCAAGCTTCATTATAAATAGGTCAGACTTATAACATAATTATTAAGCTTAAACTTGACTTGTTATTTGTTAAAGGTTTTATTTTCAGCTTAGTCTGACCTGTTTAAATAGTCTAACTTAGCCTAAAGCTTGTTAACAAAATCTGTTACAAAAAAATCTTTTAATAGGCCATTAAGTTTAGGTCAAAAAACATGTCCAGGCTAACAAACACGCAATAAATAGGTCATAAACATGCTTTTATCTTTTAAGTACTGATTTTTGAATAATAATAATATTAATATTATTATATATATATATAGTAACAGACAAGCCTATTAAGCTTAATAAGATTTGTAAACAGCTTAAACTTGACCTATTTATTTAAACAGACCTTAAAAAAAGTTTAAGTCTTATTTATTTATTAAAGAGATCAGGCCAAGTTAGACCTAAAGCAGGCTAGGTCGTAGGTTCCTGACAATCCATTTGGCATGTTCCATCCCTACTTGTATGTATCCAATATCTAAGTTGTGATTTTAAGAATGTATGTATTTACATGCATTGATCGAGTTTTAATTTATAATAAAAATTAACTTTTAAATTAATAGAACTTTGAATATTATTTTAGGGTTCTTCACAAATCTCATGTATGAAGTTAATAGTTTTTAAAATTAAAACTTTTATATTCACTCTCACTCACTCTCAGTTCATAATAAAAATGAGTTTTTATATTAATAGATTACTAAATTTTCTTTTAAATCTTTCTTATGCCTTCCTTCCATAATAGTTGCTTTTGCATTGCACAATTTTTATAATTTTCGTTTAAGCCATTTTTTGCTAGCTTAAGCAAAAATTGCCAGAGAAAAATTACTCACTAAAATTATTTAGCTTAAATCACATAAAATATTATAATATTTGCTTAAGCAAATAATATTTGACTTAAGCAACATTATATTAATTTAAGTCAATTTTGACAAAATTTTTAAGTTCATTACTATCTATAATTTGCTTTCGCAAATAATGTGTAGCTTAAGTAAAAATTATAGTGAATGAATTGTCTTTTTATCATTCAATTATATCTCTTTAGTCATTGTTCTTGTTTTAATCATACCAAAATGTTAATTTTTAAAATAATTAAAATGAATATATAATATTTTTAAATTTAATTGATTTCACTAACAAAAATTACAAGTCAAAATATGACAATACAAATAGAATATGATTACTTAAATTTAGGATAGATTTAAAAAATATATTTGTATACTACTTAAGATGGGTAAATAAAAAAGAATTGTAATAAAATAAGTAAAAATTGAAATAGTATTTTAGACAAGTATTACTTAATTTTATTTAATCTTTTATTTTGAATATTTTTTTTAGATTTTTATTATTTAAATTTTTATTATAAGCATTTAATTTATCGTTAAATTACTTATAAAAATATAAAAAAATTTAAACCTGCTTCATAAACAAATATAAAAGTTAAATTTGAGCAAATACGATAAAATTTTACGTGAATGAATAATTATATCTTTAAATGATAATTTTCTTAAAAATATTTTAAAAGATTTATTTTAAATATTTAAATGATTAAAATTTTAAATCTCTAAAATTTATTAAATATAAAATTATAAATACTATAATTTTAAAAGTAAAGTACTTTTACTTGCTTATTTATAACTAAGTCTCTAATTCACGGTAAATATTAAATTTATAACGTTGAGCGCACTACTTTAATTATTTATTTAAAAATAGGATTAAAAAGAAATTATAATTTACGCTAAATAGATGAAATTTCTAAATTCTCTATTGACTTAAACCCTAGCAGCGTTATTCTGTTGACCCTCGGCATTCTCTCCGTCGCAGTGGAGCTCTCTTGATCGGTGAGATTTTCGTCTTTTCTCTATTGCGAGTTCTCTGTAATCTCTCTCTGAAACGGTACCAAACTCAAGAGGGAAGTCACTATAATGGCCCCATTCGAATGCAAAATTAGATACAGCTATAGTGTTGTTATACATACAATCTCCCAATGAAGTAGTAATTAAATTATTTGCAGGGATTTCAGTAAGCTCTGCCAATCCTGGTTTTGAGCTTTACCAATGGCTGATGATTCGGGTAAAGGAGTTGAAAATGGTTCTTTGAACTCAGTACAAGTAGAGAAGCCTCAGATTGAGCCCATAAGATTGCCCACAGTTGAGGAAATTCGTGGTCAAGACATTTGGAACAATTGTGCAGTTCGCAGTGTTGTTAGTGGAGTCATGGGTGAGTCATTCAATCCTTACCTTTTATGTTTTTTTGTTTTCCCATTACATTTTATCTTATATTTCACCACTGCATAAATTGTATTAAGATTCTCCAAATGTTTATGCAATTCTTTTGCAAGTTTGGTGCTTCTTTGTCAAGGATCAAATGATGCCGAGGCTATCTGAACTTGTCCTTGTTTAGTTGTTTAACAATGAAGAGCCAATGAATGGGCTCTGTTAGGTTTTGTGACAATTTCTTATGTATTGCATTGAGAACAAGTTTACGATTTATGGAGTATAGTTGGAACTAAAACAGAAATTCCTAGAGAATAGTGATCTGATCTATTCCCATGATTCATGGATCAAATATTCTAACAACATGAAATACTGATCTGAGATACAAGGAGAAAATAACAGAATTTGCTACATAAGGATGCTTCAACTCTGCATATTATTTACAATTCTTACCCTCTACCTCAAGCTGGTGAGTGTATATTATCCATTCCCTGCTTGATCACAATATTTTGAATGAAAGACCTTATAACCCTTTGTTAGTACATTTACAAGCTGGCCTATATGTGTGCAAATTGTTCCATTATCTAACTTCTCCTTGATGAATTGCACTGGACTGTGTGCAATGTCTATAGTAAAATTGAAAAATAGTTTGGTTTCATGGGTCTGCTCCATGTAACCCTCAAATCTTCTAAGTTTATCTTACAGTTTCATCCACTGCGATTCATAAATTCCCAGGGCCATCACTCAAATTCTGCATCTGCCCAAGACCGTGCAACTATATTTTGTTTCTTGCTCCTCTGTTTAACTAAATTTCCTCCAAAGTCCAATACCAAGATGTGCAACCCTTACTATCAATTAATCATGCACAAAGCATCTTTGTAACTTCCATCACCATTTCACAACCCCTTTTGAATAGGCTGCTCTTACAGAAGTAATTTTAGGTACGTAGTAGTTAGTATGCAGTGGATAGCTTTTTGATGGGATTTTTAGGATAATGCATTAATTGACTCATTATCATTCATACCATTGCTTCACTCAGTTCATGATCCTGTTCAATAGGTGATTCTCAAGGCTTACACCCTAGTAAGCACTACTAAGCACTTCCTTAGGTACTCCATGCCTCTAGATCAGTTCCTGTAACATCATCTACATAGGTGATTAGTACAGTAGCCCCTGCCAAGGATGAGTGTTTACTATAATAAACAAGGTATCATCATCACCTCGACTTTGTTTGCATCCCATATTCTTCATAACTGCTGCAAATCTGCCAAATCGTGCCCTGCATGACTGTTTCAGTAGTTCAAGGTCTTTCTAAGCTTACATACTTTATCTCCAAGGCTTTAACATAATCAAACTTGGGAGGTTAGCTCCATATCAAATATGTCATTTAATAAACTAAAGCTATATTATAAATTATGCCAGCTGTTGAGATGCATATGGTAAAAAATGTGTTTCTTGGGATTCGTGTGATGTTTTAGGAGGTGGACTTGGCATATTCATGGGTTTATTTCTTGGAGCTCTTGACAACCCACTGATGCAGGAGGAAATGACTGGCAGACAACAGCTTATATATCAAGCAAAGCAGATGGGACGAAGGAGTTGGAGTTCAGCCAAAGCATTTGCTGTTATGGGTTTCATTTTCTCAGCTGCTGAATGTGTTGTCGAGAAGGTTTAATGGATTTGTGAAATCAAAATAGATATTTAAATTAAGCATGTAAGGTTCATTCTTCTTCTTACCATCCTGGTCCTTGATTTTTTTTTTTCCCTAGGCTCGAGCAAAACACGACACAACAAATACCATTGTTGCTGGATGTGTTACTGGAGGTGCAATATCAGCAAAAGGTAACTCTTTTTTCCATTGAATTTCTGTCATTCTTATTATGTTTTTGTTTCTCTTAATCTATATTTGACATATATGGGCATATAAGGCCTGGTGAGGCATTTACAGAACATACTTGGAAACCTTACACCTTGATCAAGGATACTGCTAGATTCTTGTTTGATTTGCATCTAAGATGCACTTTGGGAAGTGGTTTAGCTTTTGCAGATATATTATTAAGAAATCATATTTTTTTCTTAATATTTTCTATACTTGGAGGAATATGTTTATGCAACATCTCTGAGGAGTATGATGCTTTTCAAATATAGCTAGTTCTTGTATTTTGGGCTAACCAAATAATGTTTACAAAAGCTAATGCCGTCTGATTATTTCATTGATCTCTTCTCTCCCCATAGTATCAATGTCATCATTTGCTGAAGAAAATCAGCAAATGGTGTTTTCACACCCTTTAGTGTGTATATATAATGGGAAGGGAAGAGAGAGAAAGTAATAGATGTGATGGGAATGGAAGAGAGAGATAAAGGTATAAAATGAGTGAAAAAAATTAGGGTGTGAAAGGAAGAAAATTGTGTACAGCCTGCACAGATGAAAAACAAAAAAGGATAATGCACCGTAAACCATGAATCTGTTGTCTGCCTATTTTCTCTATGATAACTATTAATGTTTCCACTGTTGCTGTGTGGTTCTAGGTGGCCCAAAAGCTGCATGTGCTGGTTGTGCTGGCTTTGCGGCATTCTCCGTGGTAATAGAGAAATTTTTAGAGAGGCATGAGTAAATGAATTGACGTCAATCAATTTTGTATTTTTTAATGAATAGTTCTTCTGAGTTATTGGTTAAATCATTTGCCCATTTGACATGGGACGTTATAGGGAGCACACAAATTGCATTACTTGTTTCACATCAATAATTTGTATGTATACAATGTCATTGGCGAATTCATCCTCCAACAAGGGAAAGCTCTGATGTAATGATATGATCTAGTATTAAGTAATTGAAATAATTTTTTTTCCACTTTATGCATTCTTATGTCTGAATGATTATATGGTGTATACTTGCTAAAATTCACTGTTGTCAATATCTATTTGACTACTGGGCAATGTTGAATGTGGTTAGGCAAGTGATGATATATTAATAATCTATCGTTTATAGGTCAGTTTTTTAGAAGTCCTCTGAGTTCCATTGTCCAGGCGTGCATTAACTTTTAATTCGAGGAAATGGTATCTTTTGTCTTCACTTTGAATTCAGACTTAACAATTTTGTCTCACGGGTTTTATTTGTTTTAGTTTTGCCTTAAAAGTTGCTTTCCGTTTTTCTTACATTACTTCGACCGATTGACGTACTGAAATAACCTTTATTTGGCCCACTCGGATGATCTAATCATTACATGCGTTCTTGATAGATAAATATTTAAAATCTAGCCTCCAATTCGGATCCGGATCCCTTCATGTTCGATTTCGAACATGAGGGTCATGTTGGTGTAAATTTGTAATTTCGCTTAAGCAAAATTTTGTTGGCTTAAGCGAGCGTATAAATTTATACCAATATGACCCTTATGTTCGATTTCGAACATGAGGGGATCCTTTTCTGTATCTTGTGCTATTTTGGATTTAATAGCATGGTACTTATGTTTTGCTTCAGCTCCAAATTCAAAATCAATCTATTATGAATCAAAGCTATTCATCAACAGAAAAAAGAAAATTCAACCGTACCCTATGGCCTTTTAAAAATAATGATGGGATGTAGGGGACTCGGTACAATCTAGATTGATGTATTTATTTAAAAAAAAAGAAGCATTAAGTCCTACAAAAGGCTTGTTCGGATGCAAAAAAGGCGAGAATTCAATCAATTAAGCAAGGAAAGTGCATTTCGAAGTTCATCCACATTATTTTTAAAACCATTAACCTGATTTTCTACCTGTGAAGTGTTAACACGCATTTAGACAATCAGACGATGTTTCAGAAATTGAAAACAACTTGAGACATCAATGAGTCAATAAAATATAGGGAGGGATCAACCAAATTATAAGCCCGTCAGCATGACTCGATCGACTAATATAATGCTTGTTTATGGTGTGACCTCTTGCTGCAATTGCAATTCTGGAGAAAGGAGGAAAATGTGCCTTTCATTCAACGTATTCTCAATCAAATTTATATCAGCCATTCAATTTGCATTGAACATAAGGCACTATGGGAAGAATCTCAAACACAAATTATTTGTATGGTCTATTCATCGTTAGGAAAAGCTCACAAGTCACAATAAACTTTCATGGGAAGGGGAAAGGGAAAAAGAAAGGAGTTTGAGTGCCTTATGAATTTGAATCAGCAAATTCTCATTACACACATCATAACTCTACATTATCAGTTATCCCAATCGTACATAAATATGCAACTATTACTATTTACTCCAAGACATGGTTTGTATTAAAAAGAATCAATAAACACAAGTTGTTCCTTTATTATTTTATTTATACTATACAGTTAATCACTCCCCATATACCACTCAATTTCTCATAAATCCAGTATTATATTAATATTATGTGACCGAAACTCCACACATGCACACACCTTTGAAAATCAAAGGATCAAACCTTGAGGTGGTGCAGGTTTGGAAGGTTGATCAGGTGTGGTAGCATGTGGAGATTCAGGTTTGGAGGGTTGAGATGTGGCATGAACATGATCATCATCCTGCGCCAAAACCTTCTCTTTAGTTTTGTTTCCCACCTCTTCAGCAGCCTTAGTAACCCTATTGTAAGCACCAAGAACCCATGTAGCTCCAGTTAACACATAACGATTCTTCATTATGGCAGAGCCAGCATTGGTCACTGATTGTTCCGCTGCTGAAATTGCTGATTTAGTCTTCTCCGAAACTTGAAATCTCTCATCCATTTCTTTTACTTTGTCATTCACCAACACTGTTCCAGCACTTATCTTTTCACTTAAACCAACCTTTTGGTCCAAAGAAACAACTTTTGCTGTGGCCGTGGATGTAAGCTGGTGCTTTTCATCAAAGGCCTTTGCTCTATTTAATGCATCTTTACCCAAAACAAAGCCCTTGGCTAGCATGCTGCTCACAACATCCTCTGCCTTCCTCAAACCACCAGTCTCAGCATTTCTAGTCTCTGTTGCCTCAGCCTGATCACAATTCATTGTCAAATATGTTTGCCATGTCAGCATCATATGACGACTTATTATTGTGTAGGGCTCCATTTATAAGTACTAAACGTAAGAAACAAATATCCTTTAGTACTCGTCTTTTGTTCATTCATGAAAATGAACAAATTTGTTCATTTAATACTATAAATATTTCTAAAATGTACTATAAATTTATAACATATAACTGGTAACTATTGGTCTTAATGAATTAGATATTTATTTATTTTTATAAATAAGAAGAAACAGGAAGTAATAATATTGTAGAAGGAAATTAAACAAATAGTTAAATACTTCAGAAGCAGCAGAGGCTGGGAGAACATAATCTTGAGCCAAATCTATTGTTATAGACTGTCCACACACCACTGCTCCCTGCAGAGAGACACCAAAATGAAATTAATCTGTCCTTTTGGTTAACCAAAATGAAAGTGATACATATAATTATAGTTAATGCTTTTCCCATTAAGAAAAGTTGAATGCTGCATGTTGCACTACACAGTGAGTGCGTAGGAAATAGAGAATATTTCTTTAATAACAAAATTGGTCAAAGAAATTCATCTACCGAGAGAAGAACTGCAGTTTCTGCTCCCTCTGAATTACTGAAGGTAACATACGCAACATTACTGGAAAATGAGTCACAATCACTAAGTTGGTGAGGAGAGTGCCATATCATAACATGGCAAATAAAACACACAAAGAAACGGATATACACAAACCTTTTCATTTCAATGTATTCGATTTTTCCTGGAAAGGTAAGAAATTCCTTCAGATCTTGCTCGGTTGTACCTGTAGAGATGTTGCTCACTGTCACTGATCTTGTCTGTTCAACAAAGAAACAAAGCAAATAAATCAGCAATTCCAACACCCAATAAATTTATTTTCTTGATGTTCATACCCTCATAGTTAAAAGTAAAGAATTTTTTATTTATCTTCAATCTTCATTTCATAGAATGTCCTCACTTTTACCGTTTGCATCGTATTTATACTTCTATTATTTATGTTTGGTTTTTTTTTTAAAAAAAAAAAACATTTTCTTGCTTTATTTTCACTAGTCATGTTCTTTTCACGTTTTCTTTTTTCAATGATTTTTCTGTCGGAAACGATAAAAAAATTAAATATCAAACAGGCCTAATATTTTTGTTTCAGTTTTCTATTTTCTGCCCTCAAATATGATTCACCAACAATAAAATGTAAATATATGAGAATGCAAACAATGTGCAATTTTACGTAGTATACAATCATATACATGAGAATGCCCACAAAGAAAAAAAGGCAAAACATTAGATCAAGTCGCACAAAACTCAGACACCCCATTCCATCATATTAGAAATAAAAAAAAAAATGTACATGAATTTTTTATAAGCTAAGATAAATTGATTAAAAATCCTAACCAGATCCACAACATAAGAATTTCAACAAATGGAAACGTTTTCCTTTTAATTATGAACAAAATCATGAAAGAAAGTAAAGATCAAAGGGGTGTGCAACCAACCGCCATATAGTTCGTTATCAAAAGTCTATGCCAGAGATCAATCTTCCACAGAGAAGAAGAAGAAAACGTGGTTTAGAGTTTAGTTAACGGAATTAATAATGGTTGTTTACGTAAGAATGAATCTTATATATATATACTTGTCCATTTTTCCTCCATATATAATCGAATTTATTTAATTAATTATGATGTATAAATTTAGGTTGAGATGGTGTGAGATCAGCAAATGAGCAATATTGCACCCTCTCAAATTGTGTTAGTGGTTGCAAAGCTTTGTTTCATTGCTGCTTCTACTTGGACTTTCACCTTCCAATCACGCTATTTTTTTCTTAGTTGTTTTAACTTTTAAATATAAATTGAGAATTGTTTTCCATTGGGCCTTTCGTTTTATCCCATCAATTATCTTCCTTATGAGTTCTGTTTAATTTTAAACTAGTTTCCTTCAAGAAGTTTTCTATAAAAGGACTTCAAATTTGTAAATATTAATTATCTTCAAGGCCAACAATAAATACTTAGACAAATCAAACACAAGTTAAACATTTATATGTGCTTTTAAATGTGAGTTTAAAATTAAATTTTCAATAGATATTTGTAACCTAGAATAACATATTAATAAATTATTTTCTAAAATTTTGAGTATCAACACAGAGTTGTGCAAGCTATATTTAAATACAGTTTCTCTTTCGTTGAGACTTGAGAAGGTATTGTGTATTGAAATAATATGCTTGATGAAGACTACCAAAAGACATAAAATTGCCACAAAAGAGATTAAATGTTGGATTCTGTTAAACAGATTTAATATTTAATTGTTGTTACAAAAATTGTTTCAATTGGAAGAACACGAGTATTAAAATTAAAAATAATATATTTTTCTTAAATATGAATTTTAGAAATAAATAAGAAGAAAATATAATTAAAGTATTTGAGATGTGACTATTGTAAAATAAAATCATATATAAAGCAAGAAGGTGCAGACATATCTAACCTCAATTTAGTGGAACTAAATTTATCTTATGCTTTAAATTAAATCAATAATAAATATATTTTTATTTTCTTACTTTAAATATTTTAGAAGAGTCAAACATTTGACAGTCTTATTCATAGTTGAAAATATATCCATCAGATGTACATTATTCACTATTGAGTTTTTAATTATTAAGATATGTAACTGGAAATAAAATACCAATTTTAATTATAAATAAACAATACAGTAATATTTTGTAATCCTCTCTCTCTTTTCTCTCTCTCTCTCTCTCTCTCTCTCTCTCTATATATATATATATATATATATATCTTCAAATTAGAAGAGAGAAAGAAATACCAAGTAAAATCAAATATATTTCATTAATTTTATTTAAACAATATAAATAACAAACTAAATGTCATTTTATTTTAATTTACAATTTCATATCTATTCTTTCAACCCAATCAGACCATTAATTTCATAGCTATGCTAACTCGTATTTTATGATGGGCTTGGGCACCGACCTGTTTTTGAAGAATTTGATTTTTTAATGTATATTAAAGTTATATAATAAAAAATTAATAAATAATAAAATTTTATTAAAAATTATATTATTTATTAATATTAACATTAAGGATGAATTCAAATTTTTAATCAACTTTCAAATGAACCAAACACTCTAAGCTTGTCTAATATTATGACATTTATTCACATAAATGAAGCACGTTAGTAATGTTAATAACATTAAACATAATTTTATAAATTAAGATATTTTTTCAGCAATGCAATCAATATTTTTGACCTTCCATATTTACTATTGTGTAGCTAAAAATAAGGGAGAATTACTTTTATGTTGAGTCATAATTTAATTGTTAGCATAAAAAGAAGTTGCAAATCCTTCAGTTCATAAGCCTGCACGAACACATATTTCCTTAGTTGCTGTTGGACAATTTTTGACACAGTGAAGAGTGTCCTCAGTGTAAGTGTGATATCTCAAGCAAATGAGTGAAAACGTTAAGTTCTTATAATGCCTTAAGTAATTTGTGGAAAAGACATCACAATAAATAAGACAAACTAGGAATTTAATCATTTTTGCACAAGGAAGGTGCCAAATCCATCTCTAACTAATGTGCTAGTACGAAGTTCTCTTACTAACGAGTTAGTTAAAACTATGTTTAGCTATATAGCTTTTCTCCAAACTACTTAACTAAATAAACATGTCCTAACATGACTACTAATTAACAAGTTAAATTAATGAACGACTGAAGCAATTGATGTTTGTATCAAAGTAAAAATTTGAAAAAAATTTCATCCCTATTGAGTGCAAACGTCCTTAACTTGTAGCTTTATATCTTGAATGTTGACATAGAAAGTGTGATCACATAATTTGCCTAGTCCCAACAAGTCATGAGATACCACAAGGAAACTTGCCTATTACCAAGTTGAAAAGCGAACTAATGCATTTTTATTATGATTTGACAAATTATCTTCTTTCACATATTTTTCCACAAGTAGTTGGACTCTGAATCTTTTTTATTCATCATATCCTATGCTTTTTTTACCCAATAAAGCCACATTAACTTTCCTAGTTGTTCTCAAACTAGGTTAATTCTCTTTCCATCATTGTTCTTCTAAAGAAAATCACACTCACACACTTATTGATGAATCCATATTTTGACTGATATTTTAGTATAATTCTAACACATTTGATAAGAAAAATATATAAAGAAAGCAGAAAAACTTAGAAAAAGAGAAGGAATTGAAGTTTGTTTAAATTTGTAGTTATTTTAGCAATTGTGAAATTTTTGCTTAGGAATTAAGTTTTTAATCTTGTTTTTGAAAGAAAAAATTGAGCAAGGATCATATCCATGGAGGTTTGATGACAAGGAAGAGGAAAGAAGCAAGTCTGGACTCCAAAAACACAAGAATAAGAAATTGCAGACTGGGCGTGATCACTATTGTCAGTGAAAGTGATCACTTCAGAGCTCAAAGAAGAAGGAAAGCTCTGCGTAACCACTATTGTCATCAAAAGTGATCGTTCCAGAGAGTCTTCAACTTGGCGAGTTGCGCATAGTCACTTTTATCAGCAATAGTGATAACGCGCAACTACCTTGGCTCTGCGTTGTCACTTTTATCATCAAGAGTGATAGTTCCAGAGAGCTCTCAATATCAGGAAAATGCGCGTGGCCACTATTTCTGGGAAAAGTGTTAACGCGCAACCAAAAACTCTCTGCGTAACTACTATTTCTCATAAAAGTGATGACGTGAAAATCTGAAAAATTTTATAAATACCAGAAACGATCCGAAAATGAGGGATTCTGTTCATTTTTAGTTTTTTTAGTTAGTTTCTTATTAGAGGAAGTGAGAGAGAGGAGTGGGGATTCGAATCTTGGAGCTTCACGAAAAGAAATTGGAGTGGAGCAAGCTTCCATGGCGTTTCTGAGTTTCTTCTTCTCTTCTTCTCTTTCTTTTCTTTTCTTTGCTGCCATGGCTGTGTAATTCGTTCATAGTTAGGGATTGTAGATCTGAAACAAACATGTTGAATTGATTTGGATCTGAATTTCAAGCTTTGGAATAGATTGAATGATTGATTCTGAACTTCACGTGGAAATTGAATGGAAGTTTGATTAACTAAATTCAGAGGAACTCTTGTTAATGGAAATTGAATTTGTTCTTCAGATCTGAACCAATCACCAAGATTATAGTTTTCTTAAAATCTTGCAATCTTCTGGTTTCTTACACTTAAAGCAATATTGAATTGAATCAGATCTAAGGAATTAGAATGGTTTAATTGAATGTTAGGTTCATTGAGTTAAGGAATTAACCTCTGAATAATATAATATGAAACTGATTGTCATTCTTTCCAATTGCTTGTTAATTCAGAACTTTATTGATTAAACATTGGAGTTTTGGTGAAGTAATTCCCTAGCTATGGTTTCTTCCTCTGTTATCACATAACTGTGTGTTCATTGTTCTGTTTTCTGCAAGTTCATTTTACTTTTAATTGTTCTAGTTTGCTGTTATTACATGTTACTACTCTCCTTACAATTTCGAAAAAGCTTAAATGGTTATAATTCTATGAAGTGGTATTTGAAACCTAAATTCCCTGTGGAGACGATATTTGGATCTTAAATTTACTCATTACTTGCTGCAATTTTAGTGCACTTGCTAGTGTAGATTGCGAACAACAAGTTTTTGGCGCCGTTGCCGGGAAATTTTGCATTTCAATATCATTAGTAGTAGAAAAGTAACTAGATTGAGCATTTATTTTGTTGCTTTGCTTTCAAATTGCTTTCTGCATAATTACACTGCACCTTGTGTAGTATTCTGCATAATATTTCTGTCTGCTGCATAGAATTTTTACATC